TAACACAGGGGCAAACAACTTCACCCAAGACAGGCACAACACAAGATCAAGCTACAGCATTGGAAGTAACATCGACAGAAGCCTCATCGTTGGAACAAACCACAGAACTGACAACTCCTGGTAAGACACAGTTGCAGAGTTTTTTGAGAGGAGAATATGATGATTCCTCTTCCTCTTTCGTAGCTTTCCCCACAGTTTGTCATAAAAATACTAATTATACTATCGAACGTTTACATACTGAAAATCTGTAGCTGTTTGACTGATAATTGACTCAGAATAAGTGCTGCTGCGACTGGTTTTGGTGGAACGATAATCGGGGACGCTTCACAAAAGACCTGTTTTACACTGTTCGAAAGGGAAGCCTAGTTTCCATAGTCGTACGCGTAAAGAACGGCGACGGTGCGCAAGATCTCAAGACGCAGTCATGGACACGAGGCTACTCATTTTACCAAAAATTGAACAAAATGGCGTCAGAAACCCAGACAATTTTCGCATAAAATGTCTTTTTTGGCTGGCGACTCACCGCCGCCTCTTGAAGCCAAGCTGAAACTCCAATTTGTTATTTTATGTTGTTGTTTCTGGTTTACTAGTTTGTTGACAGTTTGGGCGTCACATTTTATTAATAAGGAGAAATGGTTCAAAGTGCGTGGTACTGAGCGAGAGAGACGTCGTTTTACGCCGTCATGCCAGCGGGAGTGTTGGTATAGACCTATTCCGACTCAAACCAAACAGTCGGCCTAGTTGAACCTACTCTAACTTTCCCTAGCCCATGTTTATGCTGAAGTGTTTCCATAATATTGCGTATCGTCAGTGACTGGTCGGCAATGTTCTCTTGGTCAGTTTACTTTGATATGGAAACGAGGCTCAATAATTCCCCCACGTGGTATAAACCGGTATAAGGATGTATGCTCTTGAAGGGAGTGGAAGCCTCCAAAGCCACGTTCAATTTCACATTTCAAATTGTAGTTTTGATGCCGTTATTAACAGCATTTGAAGTTCAAATAGCAAATGGCTTATCACACGTGTCTGCCGTTTTGCTTGCACTAAACTTTCTTGATCAAGCTCTCAAGATCAAGCTACGGAGCTTGCACCGAAGAAAACGGGCGGCACTCTGACTAGCTCTTCCCAAGGCCTCTGACAAACTGCCATTTCACTTTAAATAAGCTCATGAATCCGAATTTACGAAATTGCTTGACAATTTTGATGTTTTTTTAATGTAAAGGAGCACTTAATATGAAACGAAACCAAGTGACACGAAAGTTTAATTTGCCACTGAATAATGACAGTTGGCGGGAAAATCTAAGTTTTTTGGTTCAGCCAAACTGCACGCGACATTTGATTAACCTATAAATTATTGCTTGAGTTGCTCATAGGTTCATTGCTGAAACAGCAAATAGATTTGCTACAGATTGTCTAACAATTATTAGAGCATAAGTACTTTACATGTTACATTAACATGAATTAATAATAATCTTTGCCATACCTTATGTTTTCAATTTTGGTTGAGCCAAACTAAAGGTATACTTAATTGTGCAAAGGGACGGCGTTTTCATAAACTAAAATTTCTGACAGAGCTAAAGGTTTGGCGCAGTTGCCTCTGAAAAAAAGCCAACTGCAGTCATTTTCATGGTAAAAAATAATTCGGGCATTTTGGGTTATATAATATGGGCGATTCACAAGACAGTCTGCGAGCAAGTGGTTGCCATGGAGAGGCTATACTTTTGCCAAGTTTACCGTTGACAAAAGAGAGGCTGACTTGCCGCACTTTTTGCTTGAGTTATGGTAAGCAGACAACTTGAGGCAGTATTTTGATAGATTTGGGTATTCCATGCAGCAGAAAGAAGAAAAGGCTACTGAAAACTGATACTTGAAATAGGTCTACAAAACACCCACGTGCAGCCGCGGAGTTTCCCTTGTCGTTAAATGCAAGTCTCCGTTTTTACCGACAGAGTGTCCTATTGGAACGTCCCTTGTTACATGCACAGGTAAGATACATGCACTGACGATATTCAGTATACCTAATCCGAGCTGAAAAGACGTTCATCACCCCAAAAATGCCTCGATGGATTGGAAGCAGAAAGAAAAAACTCCTTAATTTCCAGTGACCACTTGCACGAAAAGAAGACACTGTTTCGTCAAAGTCTGTGTTCGTATTTTTTCTATTATTGCAATCTTTAGACTGTTCGCTGAGTTGTCTCAATGGAGGGACTCTGGACACGCAGAACTGTAACTGCAGCTGTGCAAACAGCTTCAGCGGAACGACATGTTCAGGTAAGGGTACTCGAATGAGCGACCAGCTGGGACATAATGGACAATGATTACCGTTTTACAAATCAGCCATTTAAGACAAGAACTCCTTAGCATTGCCGCTTTTATTGATTTGTCTAATTGGTTCTGTTTTTGCAATCTTTAGATTGCTCATTGAGTTGTCTGAATGGAGGGACTCTGGACAGGCAGAACTGTAACTGCAGCTGCGCCCAGGCCTTCGGTGGAACTACCTGTTCGGGTAAGAGCATTGGATGGGGATGGCTGTGGCAAGGAATGCCGGCTGTCACTTGAAATCTGAGAATCGCTTTTCGTGTGAATTGGCTTATAATTAAACGAGTGTGCCCCATGTTGACCTGTACTGGTGAAACTATGCAATACAAGGCCGCCAAAGGTGCTGGCCTCATTGGGGCCTCTGCGAATATGCGTGCTTTTCATCACGCTGAGGTGAGTGGTACTGAACAAGAGATCTATAAGACGAGAATTTCAATAATATACGTCAAAATGTTACATTTATCAGAATACTTCATGTTGCAAATTTCGGATTGTTTTTTTCTTGCGCGCACATGCTGCTGTGAAACCGCTCTGCCCTCGTTAGCCCTACCCGTGAGCGTAGCATAATAATTGCGCTAATTTGGGGTCCTGGTGTAGTACAATTTAATGCCTTGACAGTCACAAGGAAAGATTCAAATTCCAGATATTTTACTCTAATAGAATGTCCCCTGACTGCTGCGTCCTGCTTGAATGGGGCGACGTTTGACGCAACCAACTGTGAGTGCGTTTGTCCAGGGGGTGTGTCAGGTGTAACATGTGAAGGTAAGGCTATGTTTGTTTTCTGTCCTTATTGTCGTCGTCGTTGATGTATTCCTTGCTGTTACTGCTTCCGCGTTATCGCCGATTCGCTGTTGCAGCCGCTGTCACAGCTGCAGCAGCTGCCATTCTTGCGACAGTTGTCGCCTTTGTTTGACTTCATCAAAGTTACTCTGTGAAATTAAAGAATTTGTTTTATGGGATGGATTAGGTTGAGTTGTGATAGTGATGGTGGCAAGAATGAGATTCACGTGACTTTTATCGACTTTTTTTCTTATAGGTTCAGATCCATGTCAGATTACGGCAAACCTGTGCACGGGCGGAGGAGAATTTTGTCGCAGAAACCCCTACGTTGCAGACGGTTACTCATGCGAGTGTCGTACCTTAGATGGATATGTCAGAGTTAACGGTGCTTGTAGTAACAGTGGTGAGTCTCCACTGTTTATGTTTTGTACAATGGTCAATTTACTTTTTCACTATGTTGAAAAAACATGGTATTTTAATCGGATGTGATGTCAATGGTGCCCTTGTTAATGGAATGTATTTTTATGCTGTTGAAAACAAAATTGATATTTTAATTGAACGTCTTATTAATGGTGCTCCCGTAAATGGAATACGTGACTCTAGTGCAGATTTATGATATTCAGTTATATCTTGTACGAAAAAAACGCCTCAGTTTTCCATCTGATATTCCATAAGACTTCCCAGGCATTTACGTTGATTGAGCGTTATTTCAACACTAAAACGACGTTACGTGTCCACCTGGACGATTATTATACCTTTAAGGGGCAGTGGCAGATCTAGAATATCACATTGGAGGCTTCCGGGACACCTTGTTTCATATAAGTTGGTGGTACACGCAGTTGTCACGTTGATGAAGCCATTTAATTTCTTTGTTTTGTCCTTAACCTATATCAAGCAAACTGTGACCCCAACATGGTTTATGCATAAGGTACCTTCCGACATTTAGAGTTAGGTCCCAGAAAAAGAAAAACATGGGCGGGGGTGGAACCCTACCTTCGGATCTGTCCCTGAAGGGGATATGCAGGGGGAAAGGTGATGTAATATTCTTTGGACTTTATTTTGGCCACTTTACAAACGACATACATGTCGCAGACATTTGTCGCCTCGCTTTTGCACAGTAAACTTCGTATTGTCCTTGCTACAACAAAAGTGCAACTCCACAAGAATGGCAAATGGGGGACAGCAACATGGAGGTTCATTAATTAATAAAACACACGAAGTTTTCATTTCGAAGATTCTGACGGCCCGTGTTAATAAATTATTGCGACTAGGCCGTGCAAGTACTTAAACAAAAACATTTATATACAAGCCTGTAAATTCTAACCATGTGTCACCCCGACAAACAAATTCTCTTCAGGAATGTCTCACCATTGGTCTTTCGATCTTTGATGGTCAATACGTCACGTGCCATCTGATTTACCAAAATACAGCGGGGGACAAGTACATAGTGTCGAATTGGGTCACGTGCACCATCTGAGAATAGACGTCTCAACTTAAAAGCGGTGGAGTATCCAGGTTTTGGATGGGGAAATGAAGATTTTTTCTTTGAAACTAGCAGTCAACATTTTTTTCATTTTAGAAAGGTTTTTGCTTACAAAGGAAGGTGTTCTCAGTTTCCTTTCAATTTCTAAAAATGGGAAAGGAATAAAAAAATACACTATGTCTTTAGAGGTGTGTGACTTCTCCCATCAAATGATACGCCACTGTCTCAAAGGAGTCATGTTTCCAACATAAAGAGGTTTCATAAACAGAGTGAATTTCTTTTTTTTCAGTTGTAAGGACAATAACGGTCGTATTACGTGTTCTGGGAGTGAACGGGACTGCTGTCTTCTTCATTGATGTGTACAATGATCCCTATGCAGCTGCAACGAGAGAATTTCTGTCAATAGTGGGCGCAGCGGTAAGTTGCATTCAAGATATCAAAATGAAAATGCAAAACATGGTGAAGAGGTGTTTCACTGTCCACGTCTGGCTGTATGGGCTGTTGGTCTGCGTTATCAAATACAGTAAAAAGAGGACCGGTATTTCAAGATATATGGCTGCAGCTGGTTTTACTTTTGCGCTCCAGAATTCCCTGCTGGTTCTCCGTTGATCCAACCGTTTAATAATTTTAGATAGACACTTCAAAAAAACTCTTCCTTTAATAGAAACCTCCATCTTTAAAGGTCCTTGATTCCATCAGGATTTTGCAGTGTGGCACTGTCGTCACTGGCCACAAAATGCAAACTTTCAAAGCTTTTTTATTCGTCTGTTCCAAAATCAGCAATTTTGGATCTCCTGGCTTTATCCTTTGTTAGGCAATAGGCAGGTATCTTTGGAGCATAAAGAGTGCGTTTCATGACACATTTTTGTGCTGATTTGTGACTAGATTTTTCGGCATCTTTTGCTTGATCCACTGACAAATGACGCCATTGAAATAATTGCCGTCGCTGCGAGACCAGGCAGCGTCCTCGTAGACGCCGTTGCCACATTTCCCCTCACGTCCAACGCAACAGCCGACATGGTGATGGCCGTGTTGAACGGTGACGTCAATGAGGGGCAAGTACTCACTGACGGACAAACCACGCTTGATGTTGTCAATTCAACCACCGCCTACGGTAGGTACCCACCATTTTCTCACCTCTGTGTGCTTGGTCTTTCACTATCACGTTCCCAGTATTGCATTTAAATTTGGACAAAAAGGTGTGATTTATGAACAAATCACTTTTTGAAATCTCGTCTCCGAATGTATGTTGTCTTTTATAGACTCGACCACTGCCTGTGCGGCAGACTTCTGTCAGAATGGCGGAACATGTAATGTTACCGATCGATATCCTTTTTTCACCTACACCTGCAGGTAATTTGTATTCATCTTGTTAAATCTTTTTCTGCCACTTTCTGTATTTTTGACTGGGCATTTTCAGAAAGATCTTCTTTAAAAAGAATTAAAAGTGATTTTCGTCCTCGAAAAATCCGAAGAAATGAACAAGAAACAACACATTTTGATGTTGTGGAAAAATTCCCATTGAAAAAGCGCCAGTGATTGTTGAAAAGGAATTTGCTGAGTGGGCCTATTAAACGCGATATCAGAAGATCATGTTACATTCCTCAAACACTGTAGCAAGTAAATCGTAAGACATTTGCTTCGATTTTATGCAGTTGTGCGGAGGGATACACAGGAACGCAATGTGAATCGACTGCAGTGGAGGTCACGACGACAGCAGCGCCAGGTGCGACACCTAATGGCTCGACATTGTTACTTGTTATGATCAAGGGCTTTGATTTCTAAATCTTGTGGAAGATTTTGGGGAATGTGAATAAAATCTGGTACACTAAGTTCTTTAAATTCACATGAACATAACCATTTGAATTGTCCATACTAAAAACACTGTTGCTATACCTTGTGATTTGGGGCAAGCATTAGCTTAGTTACATAAGAGAAGCCTTGAACCAAAACACTATTTAAAAAGGGCACAAAGAAGCCAGTCTTTTCCAGAGATAGTGGTCAATGTGCAAAAGCTTGCCCCAAATCCCAAGGTATAGCAACAGTATCCTTAGTCTGGGGAATTTGAGTTGTTACGTTTATGTGCAATCAGATAACTTAGTGTACCAGTCTGAGATTGTATTCAAATTTAACTCGCAAATGGCTTATTTCCCACATGAAGAAATTAAAGATGGTGATATCTAAGCAAAGGGTGATTTTATTGGTCGATTGAATTTTTCAGACTCTTCCGCTCCTTTCTTTTCCTTTTCCCTCGTCAATTTTGCTTGTTCGAGTAATAGGGGTGATTCATAATACTATGAGTGAGCAAGCGGTTGCCATGGAGAGGCTATTTTTCAAGTTTACGGTCAACAAAAACAAATCCAACTTGTCACAATTTCCGTTCGAGCATACAGTCAGCAGACAACTTGGGGAGTATTTTAAGTTTGATTTTGGTATGCCATGTAGTACACTTAAGACTGGTATTCCAAAGAGGGCTACGGCTATACAAAATGAGTTTTAAGGCACCTTTCTTTAAAGGCGCTTTTCCATGTTTATGTTTTTGGTTGGTTGCACACACGATGCGGTTCAATTTCGCGGGCACAGAAATCGAAGCCTTTAGCAAAAAGGCACATGTGCGTTGCGTTCGGCCGTCAAAATCGCCACGGGCGCCATTTTTGATGGATACGTATGGCTTGGCGCAGTTGTTGACGCGCGTAATTATGGAAAGGCGCCTTCATACTCTCGTGCAGCCGGCAAATAGAATTATGAACGCAGTTAAATTGCAAATCTCAGGATTTCCCATTGGAACATCCTTCGTTACATGCACAGTTAAGATACGTGTACCGACGATATTCACATTTATACCTAATCCAAGCTCAAAAGACTTTCATCACCGCAAAATACCCCGACGGATTCGGAGCTGAAAGAATATAACTCCTTCGTTTAACAATGACCACTAGCAAGAAAAGAAGACATTGTTTTGTCTAAATCTGTGCTTGTATGTTTTCTATTATTGCAATCTTTAGACTGTTCGCTGAGTTGTCTTAATGGAGGGACTCTGGACACGCAGAACTGTAACTGCAGCTGTGCCCAGGCCTTCAATGGAACTACCTGTTCGGGTAAGAGGACTGGGACTATCAGCCTTGGACTTTCAAGAGAGACGACCTTTGCAGAATTGCTGGCCACCACTTGAAATTTAGGAATCACTTTTTATGCGAATTGGATTCTTATTCTAAATATGTGAACCCATATTGACTCTCCGTTATCAAACTGTGCTTCACACGGCTGCCAAGGTGCTTGTTTCATCATGGTATACTAGGCAAGATATGGGACGGAGGGGTACCCCCTTACCTGTCCAATCCCTATACACACCTAATACATCTTCCCTAGAAGTCTGTAAAGAATTCCTGAGATTCCGATCAAACAATAACCAACACAAAGGCGGGGGTTCTCTCCGTCCAATATCTTGCTTTAAATGTTCAATGATGGTCGCCGCCGAGTCAGACGAATAATAGAAAACCTTCCAAAAATGCCCAATTACTGCCTGCAGATTAGACCGACAAGCGGAGCCAGTAATATCCTAGTAATACTTGCAGTGTTTTGCTTGCAACTAAATACAAATTATTGCTTTGACCATGAAAAACTGAGAGAAAAATCCCGGATATTAGACCTACTTTTGCCATCGTGAATAAGAATTTTTTTAATTTTGATACACTGTTCCATTATCTTTACAAAATTTGTAATTTTATTCTCTTCCCTCCAATACATCAATTTTAAAGACTTGATACAGATTAGGCTAAGACTGGCCAACAAAATGTTGACTAATACTGGAAAGCTAAGTTCATAAGGAACAAAATGCGCTAGTTCATCACAGGGAGTGATCCTGAAATCTATTAAAATACGGTTTTGTGCCAATGCCATCATAAAAAATTATTTAAAGCACAAAATATTGTAAACAACGAAGTTATTTATTCCCAAAATAATTCCAGACGAAAGCGTTCATTAAGGGTAATGACTGCACATGTACATTTTGGGCACACGGCGTAATGCAAGTTCACCAACAAAGGCATGAATATTCAGTTTCCTATACCTCAGTACATCAAGTTTTAAGATGCAGATTACCAGCGAAAAATGGCGGCGGCGATCAAAAGGTACAAAGGGGTTTGTAGTTGTGAAACAGACGGTGCGTAGCAAGCGCTCGCTGCGCTCTGGCTACGGACTTACCGGGCATGACAAAAAGCAGTAATTGGCCAGATGTTATAGCCCGAGTAGTTGAAACTCTTGTGTCCTTCCTCTATGGTCTCATCGACGGCTCTCGTAACACACATGCCTTTGAATGTTAGCACCTCGGTGAAATGGGATTGAGCAAGCAAATTGCCCTTGTAACATGGATTCACAGGATAGGAATTTCAATACGGGCGATCCACAATAGTGCGCCTCCAAGAGTTTGCAACTCGTTGGCCAATCAGAGCGAGCGAAATTTGTCCACCCTTTCCAAACGCGCATTGGGTCGACAAATTTTGCGCATTATGATTGGCCAACGCGTTGTAAACTCTTGGAGGCACACTATTGTGACTCGCCCGTATTGTGTACGACAAAATGAAGTTGCAATGTAATGATGCAAACTTCGGACTTAATTTTTCTTTTGCGTGTGTGTTGCCGTGAAACCGCACAAGCAACTTTGCATCTATCTGTAAACCGTATATAACTGTGTTATTTTATGGTTTCGAACAATTTAATGCCTTAACAAGTCACAGGAAATTATTCAAATTAAACATGTTTTACCGTTACAGAATGTCCCTTGACTGATGCGTCCTGCTCCAATGAGGCGCTGTTTAATGAAACCTACTGTGAGTGCGTTTGTCCAAATGGAGCCTCAGGTGTGACGTGTGAAGGTGAGTTTATGTTCGTACAGAGTGCTTATTGTCGTCGTCGATATTGTCATTGCTGTTACTGCTACCCTTGCCCTTTGTTTTTTGGGGGGAGGGGGGTTGTCACATCACCGTCGTCGTCGTTTTGTTGTTGTTGTTGCTGCTGTTGTTGTTGTTGTTGTTGTTGGACTTCGTCAAAGTTACTTTTAAAAAGGACAATATTCATTTTTATAGGATGGTTTGTGAAGAGTTTGCAACGGTGACGATAGTAATAGTGGGAAGGGTGAGAATTGCGCTGATTTTAATTTTGAGGTATTTTTATTACAGATCCAGATCCATGCCAGGTTACGCCAAATCTGTGCACGGGCGAAGGGGAATTTTGTCGCAGAAACCCCTACGTTGCAATCGGCTATTCGTGCGAGTGTCGCGAATTGGATGGATATGTCAGAGATAACGGTGTTTGTAACAACACTGGTGAGTCCCTTTAATTTTCTTTCTGGTTTGACATTCAATTTATTTTTTTTTTCAGTCATGTGGAAAAACAAAATTCGTAAGTAATTTATATCGAACCTGATTTTAATTGTGCTCCTGTATAATGGCAAGCATGGCTCTGCTGTAGTTTTATGATGATGTTCTGGTTTATCATTTATGACAAACCGCCTTTTCAAATCTGATTTTCCCATAAGTGATCCCAGGCATTAACGTTGATTGAGCATTGTTTCGACGGTGAAACAAGGTGACGTGCCCGCTTGGACGATTAACTGCCCTGGAGGGGCAGGGCCTGATCCAGGATATTGCGTTGGGGTTTCCGGAACATTTTACTCTTACTGAGGGAGCGTTGCATGCTGTTGTCACGCTGGTGAAGCCATTTAATCTCTTTCTTTGTCCTTAACTGCACGCGCAAAATAAAACCTCTACCGCCTTAACTTATGCTTTCAACATTATCATGATGAGAGGTTTCATAAACGGGCAATTTTTTTTTTCAGTCGTGATGACAATAACGGTCGTATTACGTGTGCTGGGAGTGAACGGGACTGCTGTCTTCTTCAAAAATGTTTACAATGATCCCTTTGCAGCTGCCACGAGAGAATTTCTGTCAATAGTGGGCGCTGCGGTAAGTGCAGGTGGCTGCGGTATTTAAATTTAATTCGAGAGAGCGTGGGGAAGAGGTATTTGCTTGTCCCTGTCTGGCTGACCTGGCTTTAATCCCCTTTATGTGAAATTTCAGAGACAGGATGGAACAGTATATCAAGCTATCGCTAGTTGTAATTCTGTACTTTAGAATTCCCTACTTTTTCTCTGTTGACCTAAACTTGTAAAAACTGTAAATGCACAGTTCAAAATTCATCCTTTGTCCGAATTTTACATTGTCACTGTATAAAAATCCACAAAATGCACAGGTTCGAAATTTTTAAGGCAGTTATCGATTGAACACAAAACTGCGTTGCGTGACACATTTCTTGTGCTGATTTGTGACTAGATTTTTCGGCATCTTTCGCTCGATCCGTTGACAAATGACGTCTTGGTAATTATCGCTGTCGCTGCGAGACCAGGGAGCATCCTCGTAGACGCCGTTGCCGCATTTCCCCCCACGTCCAACGCGACAGCCGACATGGTGATGGCCGTGTTGAACGGTGACGTCAATGAGGGGCAAGTACTCACTGACGGACAAACCACGCTTGATGTTGTCAATACAACCACCGCCTACGGTAGGTACCCACCATTTTCTCACCCCTGTGTGCTTGGTCTTTCACTGTCATGTTCCCAGTATTGCATTTAAAGTGGCCCCTTTTTGAGTTAGGCTTTAGGACAAATGGTGTGATGAACGAACAAATCACTTTTTGAAATCTCGTCTCCGAATGTATGTTGTCATTTTCAGACTCGACCACTGCCTGTGCGGCAGACTTCTGTCAGAATGGCGGAACATGTAATGTTACCGATCGATATCCTTTTTTCACCTACACCTGCAGGTAATTTGTTTTCGGTTTTTATTCTTTTCGGCCCCTTTTTGTATACTTGACTGGGCATTTTCTGAAATGTGTTCCTTCACAATATTCACAATTGAGGAAATGAACAAGAAATGGGTGATTAATTGAACTACAAATTTTGATGTACGCCTAGTGGAGAAAAAAATCCCAATAAAAAAGCGCCAGTATTTATTGAAAAGGAATTTGCTGAGTGGGCCCATCAAGTATGATATCAGAAAATCACGTTGCATTCTTCAAACACTGTAGCAAGTACGTCTCAGAACATTGTCTTCGATTTTATGCAGTTGTGCGGAAGGATATACAGGAACTCAATGTGAATCGGAAATTATGGAGTTCACTACAGAGATGACTACTGTGGTGGCCACGACGACAGCAGCACCAGGTGCGATACCTAATGGCTTGATGTTGATTCTTGTTATGATCAAAGGCATTGATTTCTAAATCTTGTGGGAGATTTTGGGGAATCCTAAAACTTTCAAGACGCTGAAGAATTCGCCACACGAGGAGATATAAGATGGCGATATGTAAACATAATGTGACGTTATAGGCAGATGGAAACTTTTCAGACTCTCCCGTTCCCTTCTTTACCACTCCCCCCGTCAATTTTACTTTTTCAAGTGGTCAATCAGAAAGTAGAATGACATTATGTTCTCTATCGGTGTAAAGTAGTGAATCAACTCTTATAACTTTCTCGACGTGTTCTTTTCTCTCAGAGCCGGTGGCCACCACGGTCATTGTGCTTGTTGTGCTGGGGGTCCTAGCACTCATTCTCACATTGTTTGGCCTGGGCGTGTGCTGCTGCATCCTGGCTCGTAGACGCCAGCGAGAGGACTGGAGACGGCGTGCTTACAACAAGCACCTGCGTCGAATGGCCTACGGTCGCCGCGGCAGCTTCGGCCTGGAGGACAGCGATGTTCGCACATCGGCGGGCGGTAGCGCGTACAATGGGTCGGACTACGACGACCGACGGATGGGTCACCTGGCCCAGGTCTTGGCACGATCTCCCTACGTGCAGCAGGTTTGTCGCCGAGTAATACCTACATTTCAGTAGAAATATTTAACTTCGAGCTGTACTGAGCAGTTTGGTTTGTTGGACGCAATTTACAGTATAGCATGTAAGTACAGGCTGATGAATACATGGGCGTAACTCCTAGAGGATGTGGGTCCATATAGGATGTTCCCCAAACTTTTTGATGGAGGGATGGGCTATTGAATAATTCTTCACTTTTCATTTTGGAAAAAAAAGATTGAAGCAGATTGCAGAGAATTTTTGTGAGGGTGTCAAGAACCAAAATGTATTCAATAGCACTCAAAAGGGAGAACAGTTTTGCAAAGTATGCAAGATTTTGCAGTAGTATGAATGCGTACTACTGATATACATCTGTATCATGAACGCCGATCGGCCCTACTTTCAAATGGTCCTCCCCCCCGCTTTTCGAATTTCCCTTGCGGGGTAAGTCATCCCCCTCAACAATCCCCCATCCCCCTCCCTTTCCCGGCCGCAATTTACGCCACTGGATAAGGTGCCATATATATGCTGGACTTGGCCACGGGGATCTGAAATAGGCTGACCGAAAAGGAAGGCCAATTCTACTTCTATATTCGCAGTCCTTTGGCTGTTTCCTTTTCGCCCTCCCACTTTTGTTCTCCTCTTGTTGTGTCTCAGTTTTCTTGAAAAGCTGTGTTTTTTAAGGAACGAGACAGATGGCACGCTGCTTGAGCTGCAGTGACACAAACGGCCAGTCAGTGGTTGAACTTTTTGCCTTTGTCTTCGCAGAACCTGCACGCTGAGTTTGCCAGGCCGTACGTGGCTACCGGCTTGGAGGAGCTCTACTATCATCAGCGAGGGGTAAGCTTTACACGTTTAATGCAGTCTGTTGTTCGGTGGCGTCGCAAGGGACGGGGGCACGTTTCCCCCTCAACTGAGTCATGTTGCGATCTTTGAAAGGAAGGACCGGTACTATACCGCCCATGATTTTTGGGGGAGGCTTATAAAGATTCAGTGAGGATGAACACATCCTTACTGAACATTCTTCAGTAAGGATGGGCAGTAATTTCTTGAGAAATTGTTCACCTCAACTGACCTACCCAAGACCTGGATACGCCTCAGCTATTGTTCCTTCACTGTATTTCCAAACATGCAGCATCTTCTAAGGCCGTCATTTAAGACTTGAGGACAAAAACCTATCAATTAACAATCCAACAATGTATAAAAAGACGCCAAGTTCAAAGATTAAAGGTTGACTCTGCGGGTTAAATGGAACGACACAATGAACGGGGCTTCGAGAAGTCGGTCCCTAGTTTGCACCCAAAAGTCTGTTAAAACATGCCTTGTATTTAAGAGATAAAGCCTTTTCACGTGACCTGAGTGGCATCAGTGTTGCAGACACTTTAAACAGTGACAAAATATGAATCTGTGGAATTACGCAGGCGGTAACATCTGATATCATGATAAATGACAAACTACTAATTACGAAACATAAATGATATAGTTTCAATGACTTTTTCGACTTTCAAATTTGGTATAACGGGTGGGTCTAGGTCATTCATACAAACCACAACCCGGGACGTCTACGAGGGGCTGTATATTCCTCTGTGTACGAGTGAGCCACAGAGGTATATCAGCTTGGCAACTGTAGATGAAGTCACTGTCACGGAAACTCAGGTACCAGTCCTTGATCAGTTGGCGAGATTTTTCTCATAAATGTCGATGGTTTATACCTTTTTGCAGTTGAACGAAGACGCCTACGAGGACGCGGCTCGATCTTCCGCCCGACGCAGCGGTCGGAATCGCTTCAGTTATTATTAGACGGTATGGCTCCAGCCACCCCCCCTTCTATTGGAGGATAATCTGAAATAATACAAAAACAATTATAACCTTCCTAAATTAATAACTATAACAGATAGGTATTTATATAGTAGATTTATTCTTAAGTTAATAGTTTTGTGAAAACTTTCTTTAGTACCTGGTTAAGAATTTAGCATGTATTCATGAAACATTTGAGAATAAGGACAGACGTTTGTAATAAAATTCTTCAAACTAATACCTGTATTGAGTATGGAGAACATGGGAAGCCGTATGCGACAAGTTTTCTATCTAACTATCTAACTTAAGTCATAAGTAGCGGCTTATATGCATTTCCCGCATCTTAATTCCGTTGTCTACACTATTAATTTTTCTGATATGGGAAGTGTGAAATGGGCCTTCATAGAAATCAGCTATTTCTCATTGAATTAATGAATGCAGCTGGTAAAGCAATTAAATGGTGGATGATTAGAGAGGTTAAATAATTAAGGCGATATAATTATGTATCTGTATAGTTATCGGAAATACGTGTATGCATATATGTTTTGCTGAAATGAAAGGTTTACACTTCTCCCTTAGTTAAAACACAATCTGTTAATATTACCGACAGAAGACGTAGTGTAACTGGTTGAAGTATTCTGAGGTGTTTTGCTTGGAGCCTTTTTATAGCACCGCCACTTCCACGGACTGACCCGCAGTGTTTTGGGGGAGATCTAGTGCATGTTTGCTAAGGGTGCGTCTGAATCTGGTGTCTGGAGCTATAGGTCTAGGCCTTGGCTTTACTCCATCGGAAATACACGATGACACGCAAAAAAATAGACTTACAACTGAAGCTCTGCAAGCCCGTTTCGGACACGGCCTCAGAATCCGTTGGCGATACCTTGCACATACCTAACATGCACATCGATCTTCGTGGCGGTTGGTTTTGAAACACTCTCTCATTGTGTGCTTTGAATTTGACGACTTCAGGCCGCGCCGTGACGAGCGATTGCAAAGGAATTTTATAGTCACGACAGAATTTAAAAACCTTTAATAACATATATATGCAAAAGACAAATATTTTCTCTTATACCTGCTACAATATTCAATATCAAAAGACAGTCATAGAGGATATATAAAGTGCAAAAATAACGATGAATTAAAAATTAACATGTAGAGAAGAAAAACAAGTACTGTTTGAATTTTTTGGTATACCGGTACATCGGGTGGATGTACTACCAGTCGACTTTCGTTTATTGAATGAGATATTTTCCTCGTGATAAAAAAACCCAACCCTTTATACATTCAGATTAAGGTAGAAATGTTTGTCGGTTGCACCTGGTTCAAATAACAAAGAAACTCCAGCCCGATTTCACTTGTGTGTCATATGGGACTCATTTCATTGAATAGTTTTTTAAAATCATGTTCTTCTATTGGAAAAATAGCGTTGTAGTGGAGAACACATCCACGAGTAGTAGTACTGTACTTAGATTTTTTTCTTGCAATACAGGCGATTCACAACAGTGCGACTCCAAGAGTTTGCTACGCGTTGACCAATCACAGTGCGCGAAATCTGTCCACCCTTTCCAAACGCCCATTGGGTCGACAGGTTTGCCCACATTGAAACTTTCTATTTTTGCCCGTTAGAAAATAATGTGATGAGGCTAATAGTAATAATGTTCCAGTTCTGTAGAGGTTTTAACAAAGCTCGTGTCCTTTACTTTTCGAAGAACTAAGCTGTATATCTGCACCAGTTGAAAGACAAATACAAGGATCTCTCCGGTTATGCAAGCTTATAGACCCTGACGGAACCATTGTTTATTCCTTAAAACTCACCTTGAAGCCCTTCCGTAGGATTTGAACGCGATTTTTGAAAAAGTGGATTCGTAACCTCACAAACTATGCACCGACCAACCAAAACAAACCACTCCGTGTTCTATGTAGTCGTGCAGGTGTAGAATTTTTAAGAGTCTCCCAAAAACCTAACGCTCTTGTGAATACTCGCGATAAAAAGGACACTTTATGACAAGGTATTATTATGAAGAGCAAATTTGACGAAAATCAATTTCATGAATTATGTTTTTCTTTTTCAATCCTTTTATAACAAAAGTCCTGGTTATTTTAACCCTAAACCCCTTGGCCTTCACTAGGGACTACCCTCAATCCTCCAAAATTCTCCGACTTCTGACATGAAGAAATTGTATTCAGCCTCAATCCACCAAAATTTCTTGCAAATGTTTTTTGTGTGAGCCTACTGCCTAAATCCTTCAAAATCCTCCGGCAATTCCTGTCATTATGTTGTGGCAGTGCGAATGGCATTCTTGAGCAGTGCCGTTGATTCAAAAGAAATATTGGGCCGAATTTGTGTTTGACTGAGCAAAAACAACACAACACGACCTTCACGCATGGCATCCTTCACAATCAGACATGCACTTTTGCTATTCACCCACAATCTTCCAAAACCACCCGAAGGATTTTGGAGGATTAAGGGGGGTTAGGGACAATAAAGTAATTTATCCGGTCCCAAAAACTTTGTTACAACTAGAGCTAAATGTCAATATTCAGTTACTTTTGAAGTTGAATTTTCGGGTTGCCACGATTATGGAACTTAATGTCGGCAGCTGGCTCTGAAGGTTTATCCCGGCTCAAAAAAAAAAAGATTTACAATAGCAGTCGTAATCCACACAGCAAAGACAACATATATTCATAAATAACCAATACCCTAACAACGTATTAAATTACACCATTATCTCGTTTAATATCACTAACACAACCATTACCTCGTCAATTACTGCTTGAAGTGCCACATCAAAAAATGGTAAATTATCTAATCTTTCAACAAAGCGTTCTGCAAAATGATCCTACTCTTAATAAACTTCCATTCAAAATATACACATTTTTCCATTCTGCAAAATAAAAAAAAAATCTGCCATCTGAAAAAGGCTATGACAAGTATTTCAGAAATGTTGCTGACTATCCAATAACATCAAGCAATGCTATTAAGAAAATGCATTTTATGTAGTTGGATATTCATACTATTTCTCATCAGCAGCAGCGAAAATTGAACTTTAACAGCACTGAGATAACAGGTGCAAAGGACTTTCACGCAATTTCAACACAGTGAACTTCACAAATATCTAAGTTCCAAAAAAAGGTATGTGATAACAAAAACTTGACAATTACTTGACAATACTCTACTAATCAGTTTTGAATCCAAATTGATAACTGTCAGAATGTCTTGGCATCTTTTTAGCATGATCATTTCAAGAAAAAAGATACAAAAAAATCATCAGTATAAAAGTGAAGATTACATGGCTAGTAATTATTGAAGTTTTAACTGTATAAAAACTTGATCTAATTCTGATTTTCCCCTAAATATTGGTATGGCTAAGTATCTGCATGTGCATTTTGAGATGATATGTGAATTGAACGGGTAGAATTTACATTAGTAGTGCCATCCAAGAGATTGAGCACTTTCGTTTGGTTTGCTGATAGCCAAACCATTCCACTTAATCATTACATGTACTTTCATACGTGACAATAACGGAAATTACCAAGAACAGATAGCCAATGGCCTCCCACTTTAAACCATCTACAACTTGCAAGTATGTGTCGGATCACAGAGGAGGTATTCTGAGTACAGAACCTTACAATATACATGTACGTGTAATTGTTGGTAGCAAGACAAGGCCCCTTGCACAATTCAAATAACTCGGAAATTCCACGTTGATAACCTGGCAAGCAAGCCCCCTCCATGAACAGCATTACGGGCAAAACAGTCCAAGAAATTCTAAACAGAAAAAATAATTACCACGAGTGATAAGCCTTCCTATTCTTGATGATGTGTTCAACTATAAGTGTCGTCCACAGGCATTATTTTCATAGATTTCAAGCTCAAATGCTCTAGCAGAAACTTAGAAAAAAGCAAACTGTCAGCTGGTCATGTGATACAAACTGAAGTTTTTGACTGGCCAACAGGGTGCCTTAGGTCTACTGTACTGGATCAAAATGGTTGAGTTGTAGCAACGCCTTGCTTTTTATTTTTCTGTTGCAATGAACCAGATCTCATTGTGCCTGTTGTGGACAACGAACGGACTGTCGTATCCAGCCAAGTAGTAGTACGACTTGTCGTACGTCTGGGTTGAGTTCAACGCGGCAGCGAGGGCGGCTGCCTCCTTGGGGAAGACTTTCTCGTTTGTGAAACCGGAGTAAACCCTGCAGGTCCAAGAGACACAAGGGCACAAGGCATTTAAGATGTGCTCAACTCTGGACATGATTAGAATTTGAGCCCCTCAAAAAAGTTGCAAAAGCAAAGGTTCCATGTGGAAATGCTAAAGACCACCATGTGAAAATACACATGGTGAAAATACACATGCATAACCAATACAGACAAAAGGCGGGCTTTTTCTTGCCTGAAATCCTTATGATGAGCACTGTCATAATATACATTTCACAGTCTTTCAACACAAACAGTGCAGATAACCCATCAACAAAAACAGTTTACATGAAGCTCTTGGACTGATCAGTTGCATTAATGTATCATTCACTCCTTTTCACCAGATGTATTTGTCCATAAATTTCGAGCAGGGAAAACAGTTGGCGTTATCTCAACTCTGCATGTATCAAGTGCATGCATGTTGATGTATGCTGTATGTTCAGTGTTTCCCCGAAGTTAAATTAACTCGGACACTTTCAAGCAGGATAGGGCAAGTAACCCCTACTTTTTCAGGAGAGTAAAAATATCTCAGAACCATTGTAGGAGAAAGGACCTTTTCCTTCTCCCCTCCATAAAAGGGGGAGGGGGTTACCTACCGGACGTAAGCCTTGTGCTGGTCAAGGGTGGTCAGAAAGAGTTCCGGATTAGTCGGCTTTGGGGTGTTGCTCTGGAACTCGAAGGGGACGAAGAAGGAGAAGGTAAAGTTACTGGCACAGACGGGCCCCAGACCAGGCTGGACACTGTTGATCACCGGCACGGTCATCGGTATCTTGACCTCTACAAATCACACAAATAGCGTTGTATTAAAACATATGTGATGGAGTGAGTCAAACCAGGGCAGAACTGGGCGCTGCAGTAAATTATCAAAATTGGCACAAGGGTACATGTAGATGTAATGTTAATGGATTTTGAGAGTTTTTGGAAGTATGTTATGCTGCTGTTGTTTATGGCGCTCGGTACTTGAACCACTCTCAACTTTATGAAACTTGGCATGCATGTACATGCAAAACACTCCTTATCATAACACATGAAAAGATTTAACCCTATCATGCAAGTTCAACACTACAGACGTGCCAGCCCACTTGCACTGAGCGCCGCCGTGGAAAAAGTACTTGTACACATTTTGGCTGACATGTCTAATAAAAATTTTGATTTTCACTAAATTGGTGTCAAAATGATTTCAAAGATCACTTTAAATCTCTTAAAGGCTCAGCTCCTGGAAAAAATGCACCGCAGCAATATCGCAAAAAATTTTGAAGGGGGGGGCTGATTCTGCCTCCCCCCACAGGGTTAATTAGCCCACCCCAACACCAATCACATGCTTTGGCTCCAAGCATCACGCCTTTATTTTATACTTGTCCACGTATGTCCAATCAAACATCCCACTTCAACATTTAAAGAGGCAGTTCAAGAGTTTCAGTAGATTTTGTCAAACTCACTTTGGTCATTTTGTCCTTGGATGTATTCATAAAGTCTCAGGAAGGCCTCTTCAGAGGCAGCTTGATAATCGATGCCAGTAATGGTGGTGCTGACCCACTTGGAGGTTTCATATCTTCGGATTTGATAGTCCTGAAACCACATGCAAATGCATAACACTGAATCCAAACACATTTCAGAAACAAAATCTCTTAACTGAATATTTAACTTTCATCAGGGATGGTTCTGCACATTGCATTTACAAAGAATAAAAAGCAACCATTATTTAAAATTTATTGTGACACCAACATCTCACAACTTGTTTACACATTGAACACATTCCTTTCACCCCAGCAGTCCTACATGCACATCCTCCAATTTTTCACAAACCTCAGCCAGGGTGGGCCACAACTGCCAAAAGAAATGAATGTTCTTGTGTAACAGCGAACTTTGAGCCATAGATACCACACACACCATGACAACACTCAGGGCTATGGCAGAGTAACCCACTACAGACAGGGTCATGAACGTGGCCCGTACTGGATGACTGTTACACAATGGGTAAAGTTTACTTTATTCCTTGTATCACGACTTTTGTCCAATAAGACTGCTCCTTTTCTTTTTCTTTACAAAAGCAAGCCTAAACTCTTAGAAATGAAGGTGTAAGTGTGACTTGCTGTGCAAGGGAAATATCAAGTTTAGACAGACAGCCTGGTCACATCATTCACACACAGGAACTGATATATTTTCAAACATTTTGGGGGTTTATATTAATGCAGACGTGTACATGTACATATATGAGCAAATGTGAAGTCATCCAAAATATTGAACATTGCATGTAGATACTGATGTCGCATTTTTCCATGTTTGGAATTTCAATTACATTTCCCTTCTAACTTTGGCACATTTCGGTATTTATCAACTGTTCATAATTTGCACAGTAGTGGCACACAAAGTCTGACCTACCTTCCACTTATACGGCCTTGTCAATTTGTGAAGGGTGATAGACTAGACACTAGAGTAGTTGATACCTACCGATGAGTTGTAATCCTCTTTGAACTTGGGGCACTCAAGCTCATGACAGAAGAAAGGAGGGCCACTTTCCCCCTTGTCATGTTTGTTTATGCTGAAACCCGTGCAAACTATGAACCCAGTCAGTGCTAGCAGCAGCACAAGGGAACCCTGACTGATTGCCATGTTTCTGTCTAGATGAGCACCTGCAGGAAAAATCAAAAGGGTGCAACGAAAGTGTGAACATGCAATGCGTATAGAATGGTTTATCTTTATTGTACATGATATTGCACATGTGCAACATCATGTACAATATGTACGTCATGTACAATGTATCATGACTACCATTATGTAATATACTGTACATGTGTGTCACTCATATACAAATGTACATGTGCTATGCACCACTTGTACATGTACATGTAGGCAGCTGTTGTACTGACAGTCAACCTTGAAAAGGCTTGAAATGGGAGATATTGGAAATAGGGGTTACTTCACATGGATACTCCCTTGATGGCATTTATTCAGTAAAAGAATCACCATTATCATTCTAGCAATACATGTAGATGTTCCTGACACTAAAGAGGTATACTTCCTCGACCAAGAACGGTAGATAGTACCCGGATGTACACCACAATTTGTTGTAACTTGTACAACTCACACAAAGGCAGAATCCCTACTGATTTCTTTCAACCTCGTGCGCTTCAAATGAAAGTAATTTTTCAAGTCTTTATTTTGTTTTCCAAATATTCCACACAGCAGAATGTAATGGCTATAAATAATGACTTTAAAGTGTGTTTTGAAGCCCTAAGTGAAAAAGTCCAAATTAGCTGAGAGAAAATGACGTTGAAATTTGTGCCCCTGTACATTTCCATGGGCAACTCAAGCTTGCTGCACCCACTTTCCATACATGGCCATGCCCATATTAGTGAACCAGTCTTGTCTTAACAGTGAAATATATGCAAATTAAAACAAAAGGAAGCCTATCTGGTAACTGTTACAGAAGGGTATGTATGCAAATGAGGTTCAAACCTACAGGTGATTAGTGGTTTCTAAACATTGTAGAGATAGAAAGGCATTGCTCTGCCAGCAATTGCAATGCATGGTTTTGATGGTGTCGGACGTGTACATCCGACATAGTTTTTTTATTTCAAGAGTTTCAAAATTAATTTAGGGAGTGATGCTGATTATAAAGAGGACACTTAGCTTAGTCTTGTAAGTTTGGCACTCTTTTCCCGAAAGGGTGTATATAATGGAGATCAAACACCATGTCAATTTGTAAAGACAGACCACGAGGTAGACACAGTGTACACCGAGAACTCTTTGGTAACGTTAATGCTCAATAGACAATGCTCAGAGCATGGAGGTAGAAACTTCAGGCACAGTACAGAAATGCAGGGAAGTAGCTAATGTTAGGCCCTGCTATCAACGTTATTTTCATGTATCCGTTCATGTACTTACTTGACCACTATCCACCTCGCGGTGTGCGCGTGTATCTTAATTACAGATCTGCTCCTGTTGTACAGCTGTACCCGTACCGTACGTGCAAGACGCGACAAAGCCAGATCGGTTACAAAATTTTTCATATTATGAAACAGCGTGGTCGACTCCATGGTTGAATGAACAGCATGCCCCCGAGACGTTGACCCGGTACCCTAGATGAGTGTTATACAACCACGTCACGTGACAGAGTTCATACTGCATGCAGGTGCGACATGCATGTAACGTGCGCACGAGCGATGCTTACACTGTGCAGATATACAGTACATGTACATAATGTACATGTGCACGGCCGGATGGAAACAGATCGACGGACTTTTCGACTTGCTTGTACATGTACTTGTCGGCACTTGAGCTAGCTGGACGAGAGTGCTGTGACCCATTGGTTCATTACATTTCCCTACTCGGATGATTTGGGTGAGTAGATTTTACATGTCCTGATTTGTTCCAGTGCACAGTTGGGTTTGTAGGTGAATCGATGAACATGTTAAATGAAACTTGGATCTTCTGATCGCTGTCTCATCTCTGACTCTTGCACTGTTCTGCGGGGGTGCCGTTCAGTGATAAGCCTACGTCCCAGGTCTTACTGCTGTGCATGCACCATTGCCCCAAGTTTTGTACTTGCAGGCCCAACGGTGTTGACAAAGTTAAGGGAAAAAATGTTGCATCCTGATTCCACTTCAGCAGTTGTGTACAAAGACTACAGGGAGTGAAGAGAATTTTCTAAGTATTTCCCAACAAGATCGGTAAACGTTTCTCAGTCCAGAATTCGTGTCTTCCCAGCATTTCTGTAGTGGCAAACTTTTATTGAGATGATATATGATGAGAAAAGTGGAGTCAGCTTGCAACATTTTAGCCAAGTTAAGTGTGCCTAGCTAGCTGTGGTTGGTACTTGCTGGAAATTTCTCTTATTCCTCAACCAGGGAAATTAACAAGGCATTTGGCAGCAGTATGGAATATAAACTGTGCTGCTAGTATTTTTCTTGTTTGAAATTGAAGTTATTACTTTATCAGGTGGGTTTAATTGTTGTTCTATTTCACCATCACTTATCTTTGTGACTGATCGCTGAGGTATTGTGTTTGGGTGATTTTGCTGGCCTCTTTCCACCCCCCAGTCCATTTTTTCCTGCAGTATATCATGCATTTTGTTGTCTCCTGTTTGAGTATACATGTATGCCATGACACCAATCCATATAAAACTTTTGATCAGTTTTTCAGATCAAGGCCAGATTCAAATGTTGAGTGAAATACGTGTTATTCTTTCTAGATACGTGCACTGTGGAAGGGGGCATGTACAGTGTACATGGCTCACCCATTCACATGTCCACAACTGATGAAGTTTGGTGTACTCGCTCAACCTTGCCAACACATATGTGAGGTGTCTCCGGTCGATACAGGGTTAAGGTGGGGCACTGAGTTGGCAGATTTCCCCCTTGAATAAAAGGGGTTATCCTAAAACATACCTCAGAGGTAGACAAAATCTTTCTTAGGTGTACTCTGTGATGGTTCGGGGACTCTGCTTGCACTCAGTGCTGAAATTAAAGTTTATTAGACTGATTCATGAGATGAGTTCTGTATCTATAACCTCCAGGGATATTTAGCCTTGAGTGAAAATGTTCTCTGCAATAAAAAGTGTTGTTGCTTCACTGGAGTCACCAAGTTACACAGTTGAACCTCAAGACCCTCAAAAGGTGAGCCTTACTATGGGACATGCTGTAATATTGATTGATCGGTGACAATGTGCCACTTCCATTTCAGTGTTTTGCCCTGCAAGATTAATGAAGAGAATCGTCTGTAAATGGATATACTGCATCATTGTTTATCAAAGTGGGTGGAAAGGTCATTAGTATTAGCAAAGCCTGCAGACTAGGTTAAGTTTATGGCTCATTGTGTGAACCATAGACATTATATAACATTGTCAGTGTTTATGTAAAGGGTCATATGATAAATGGAGGGCTTTATAGCAAACGTACTGGTTCAAAATGGCCAGCCCATCACGTTTGATGGAAATTGAACTTACTGGAAGTGGCACAAACAATGCAGACCGATCATGTTGGAGTGCTATTTTTGTTTCTACCAAGCGTCTCAGAAGTCTTCCGTCACATTTCACTTTGTCTGTCATGTGAATACACTGTATCCAGTCTTCACTTCATGAAGAATACAGGCAGATGCACATGGAAAAAAAAAAGAATAATTGGGAGGCTTTTCCTTTTAATCTGAGTCAGTGTCAGTCAAAATCATGGACAAATGCACATTACTGCCCAGCGAATGAAATAAAAACTCTTATGCAGTGGACAGTCTGCTGAATGTGACCAATGAATGTTTGAAGGTCTAATGAAAGACTTAAATTGACTCGAAAATCAGACAGCAGAAAAAAATGCACCATGAAACGAGACAGAAAGTAAAGTCAAAGTTCACAGTCGGACATCAGACGTTTCTGTGTCACCCAAAAGTGCATCTGAAATTACACACTTAGTCGCAAGCTCAAATCTACTCTCTCCTGACTGAAATGCCAGCCACTACCTTATGAAGTAAGGAACTATGCGAAATCAACGTGGGTGACCACATCAGAGTCCACGATCGAAGGCCCATCAACAGAGAGATCCAACAAGAACAGAAGAGACATGTTCTTCAAGCTCTTTGATTACATCTCAGGCAAGAACGAAAAAAGTAAGCCATTTCTTCAGCCAGACGACTTCCGATTGCCATCCCAAATCAGATCTTATGAATCTGTAACCTGTTTGTTGGCGCGGAGTTTATGACCAGAATGTTTCACATTTTGTCTCTCGCATATTGTATGTGCATCACCGGCTCTGTGAAAAGAAGTCACAAGTCACCAGAGCCACTTTTGCAATAAATGTCTTTGAAAGAATCTTACACAGCTTAAACCAATAGGAATCCTCATCCTTTTCATCTCCTCAACATTCGTTTTCATCCGCATGTTGAATTCAGTGACACATAAAAACAAAGAGCTGAGTTTCCTTTTTACACCACAATCTAAAACTCAAAACAGTGGCTCTGGTAACTTTGTGACGCATTTTCACAGAGCACATCACATGCGTGGTACGCAAAGCCCCTTGATAATTTTTCCTTTTCACTTTCTCTGGTGCTAAAGAGCTTTGAAAATAGACTCTAGAATATTGCTTGGAAGCTTTTCAAAACAACACATGAGGGGCTTTCACCGAATCAAACCACATATAAGTCTTACACAGTTTGTCCGTCTTATGTGGGGTGAGGTCAGGTCATTACAAAAATCTAAAAGTCAACAATTTTGACCTTTGAAACATCTTCAAGTGAGATTTGCTGGTTTGTTCCAGTTTTCTTGATTCTCATGGCAATTTGAAGCTGAGTAAACACGTAAAAATTCAAGGCAGGTGTTCAACCTTGATTTGAGTACTTTCTTCTTTAGGACCTTTACTTACAATAGCACCGTAGTGGTAATTCGGTTTTTCGTCTGGCGTATCATTTTTTATGCAGTTGTATGGGCACAACGTAGTTACAAAATTGACATCAATTTCTGTGAAGCTAAATTAGAATCACATGTGGTATCTTCTCCTGCGTTAGATAAAAACCATCCTCCCAATCCCTGCAAACTGGATGGATCAGTAGTAGTTAAGACAATTTCTTTAATAAGCAAAAAGTGGTGCGTTCGAATCCCACCCAAGCAAGCTTGGAATTTTTTCCCTGCTTTCTGAATACAATGTACATGCATTAGTGTAAGGGCAAACACTCAACTATAAAAATTAATCGCACACTTAGCTAAGCAAAACTGAAAATTTGGATATTTATTCCTGAGGGTCTTTTATGAAATAGCCCTAATAATTTTTTCTTCTCGTTTTTCCTCCAGATGAAAAAATTGAAATGACGGTACCTGTGTTAAGGAAAATAACCCCTGGAGCAGGCCCCTTTTGTAAAACAACAAAAGATATGTCATTCTATGTCACTGAGGAGTTTCAGGGTGACCCACCTGCTCCCTCAAATGAAGATGTTTATGTGACACATCTCCCAGCTCAGCGTGTGGTAGTCAAGTAAGTTCACAGCTTTCTGGTAGTCTGCAACATTGCAACAATCATACCCATATAAATGAACTACCAACTTGAATACTAAGTTACAGCATAGTGGATTCTAACTGTAGGATCAAAATGACAACAAACGGAACTCACCAAAACACCCTGCATTTTTCTCTCAAGAGAATCAACAAAAGTATTTTAATAGCGCACAACGGTTTCTTTGAACAGAACCTTCAGTGGTTACACCACGGAGGCCAAAGACCTAGAGGAAGCTACCCAGCTGGCTGAACTCACCAAGGACAAATACGACCTGGAGCAGAACTACTTCTTTGCAGCTGGGTACAACAGTCCTTGGCGGTTTGTTGGGCGTCGCAATGAGGTCTGGTTTGTAGTGAAGGGGGAGAGGCAGAATGGAGATGCTGTCGACAGGTGCACTCTGGAGAAAGGGGCAGCTGGTGAGGAGGGCACAGCCGTTGATAAACCTGCAGAGACAGCCGCTGAATAGACTCATCCGAGGACAAGCCCTGACTGCAGTGGCATTGCTGGCATCGGACACTTACACTTGACGTGCCAAGGACAGATCCGAAACTTTACAGATTACCTATTCACCAACAAGGACCTATTTTTCTTCGTATTGGAAAACAAAGAATACAAAGGCTTAATCTAGGATCTAAAATTTATCGCGTTATAGACATTCATCTCTGACAGTATGGAACAGACAAACAAGACGGAAGAACCATCTTGTTATTCTAAACACTGTAAATGTATTTATAATTTGCGTATTCAACTGAAGTAGGGGTATCTCCAATGACTGATTCCACCTGTGTATCCGTTACAAAGAAGGGCAACATTTTGCAGAATTAAAACTAATTACATGGTTTGGGCTATACAGATGTAATAATTTCTGGATCTCACCTTGCAACTCATTCTTGGAAATTAAAGGTTTAGAATTACATATATTGTGCTATTGTGTTGGAACTTGGGCTGGAAATGGGTAGACATTTTCTAAAAGAAAATAATGTTACAAATAATATCAATGTTTTCGAAAGAATGAACTGCCCAGTTTCAGTTTAATTTTTGTTTCCGTCACTAGACTTATTTCCAGTCACTGACCAATATGAACTCATAATTTTCACAAGAACTTACCACATAAACACGAATGCCAAAAGATAAGAGAACCTTTTCGTTGCTTTGATTTTTGAAGCTAATAAAATTCTTCAAAATAAATTAATTTGTCATTGCATCATATTGTTTTTGTAATGTTAAATCGAAGCTTTGTAAGCACGTTGGTCTTTAAGGATTTGGGCAAAATAATTGCACAAATGTCTGATTTTAAAAAGAAAGTTAAAGGTTATGGCCACAGCTTTACATTTGCCGGTCAGCATAATCTGACTTGAATAACGGTTATAATTGTGGATGAAATCGATGTTTTTCAAAGGGAAGTCCGACGTTTCAACAGAGGAAGCTTCCACAAAGTGTGACGATTAACCTCTTCTCAAGACAGGCTATGAAATTTAACATGGTACATTCCGCAGAATATTGTGTAATGAAAAAAATTGTCGCCACTGGTTGATGACTGTCTAAAGTGCATGTGTGCGCGCGCTACGCTTCCAGTGCAAAATACAGGTGTTTAAGGTCGTGCCACGCACGCGTACAGTAGCAACTCGGATATTCATCCGCTTACAACAAATTGCTCGGTTTTTCAAAGCTCTTCAACTTCTAGATATAAGTAGCACTGTATCTTCCTTAAACTGGTGAACTGCATTGAAAGGATCAGAAGACTTGCGTCAGTTCCAACTTGCTGGAGCTACTAAGCACTTCATTACGATGATAATCACTGACATCCACACGAAGCGATGTCCGTGGTCTTACAGCTGACCAGGTTCTTGAAGAAAACGTGGCAAAAGAGGCAAAATAACAGCTTAGAAGAGGCCACATGCAGTGCTGTCAATTTTTTTTTAGTTAAAAATTACTTCTACTTTTCATTTTCGACTCAATATTGTTAGTGATGGCTAGTGGAGCTGGTATTTCCCCCTACCCCATGCATAGCATCCCAAATAAACGAAAGGTGTGATTTAAGGAAATTTGTGGCCTTAGTCGTATGAGCTAACTTGAGATCGCTAAGTTATCATGCCTGGGTATATGTACCCCTCCATGGGAGGAAAAGCGGCTTTTGCCGAAAGATTTCCTTAGTCTAGGTAAATGCATTCACGAAATAGATAAATCTTTGGAAAGACTAGGCCTATGTCAAATAATTTTTCGGAGGAAAAGTACAGCTTTCTAATGAAGGGGTTACCACTACCTCTACTGTTTGCGGGCGACGGTACGAACAAAAAAAACCCCCAAAAAACAACACTCGGACTTTGTCGCCAGATCAGGGGCCGAGATAAGTATGTTCGTGTTGGGGTCCAAAGGAAAAATGGGATTTTTTCCCCAAGCTCATGCATACGACAACCATGAACACCCCAATTTTGACAGTAGCTTTTGCAACGTGTTGGTGTTTTTTTAATTCTTTTGAAAATGGCATTATGTTCGCACCATCTCCCCTCCCAACCTGGATACACACTCTGCTTACACAATGTTTGGATTTGCCACTACATTTTTGTTCGTCTGCCTTATTGTTTCTACTCTTATGAGGTCCTCGAGAATGCCGCATACCTCAGCACACCTTGATTCTTGTGAAATGAGATCTGTTTTAACGAAATATTCGTTTTGCAGATATGAAATATTTATTACGCACTTTTATTACGCACTTGATTGGCATGCAATATCACGGCATACATTCCAACAGTATAACAATGTTTAAACTCTTCCGTAAATTAAACTGCAAAAATGCAATAAACTGGGAAAGAATTGAAAAGCATATACCAAAAATAGAGTGGTTAGAAACTCCTCAGCTTCTAAAGATAGAGTTATTGTCCTTGTAGATTTCTGCATTACTTCCAGAGTTGTTTCATTGGCTTATATTTTGTGTCAAACATGAACTGATTTAGTATGAGGTACTTCCTTCATAGGGTTGACAAAAGTATAAAATGCACAATACATTCCGTCGAGTGTTTTTGTTATAATGGTATACACTTTATGGGACGAAAGTGTATATTGTAGTACGTGCATTTCGCATGTAATGACGATTCATTTCAATAATGGGCGATTCACAATAGTGCGCCTCCAAGAGTTTGCACTGCGTTGGCCAATCACAACGCGCGAAATCTGTCAACCCTTTCCAAACTAGTCTGGTTCCCTGCCCAAAGATTTCCAGACGACTCTTGATAAAATCTTAGGTCAGGCATCACCCACGGATATAAATTGATATGACGCAAGGGTCAGGCGTCAGAAGTTGAAAGCCCGGATGTTTTCGATTTCCGAGTCAGTGGCAACATCTCAAAAATGAGGCTTTTCCCATATCCAGTGGGCACTACTGCAAGCGTATCCCTACTGAGAGCATATTTCAGGCACAAAGCCTGCATTGGTCGAAGAAAGTTATATTCTTCATTTCGCCTGGTATTTCAGCCAAGGCGACCTTTGATTTCAGTGTACAAGGTCAAATATTGTGGGATTAACAGCTGCCATTAGGATACGAGAATTTACGTTCAACAGCTAGCCTATGCACCTACCCAGCCGGGAATAACCGAACGTCAATGGTACCATCCGAACATGCCTAAAATAGATACGACGACTTCGGAATATTTCAGCTATTTGCGGAAAACGCCAGTCTTGATCACGTGACATTGGGTGATACCAGACCCTTGATTCGTCGGGTAGAATCAAGGGCCTGGTATCCAAACTATTTCCTAACGCGCATTGGGTCGACAGATTTCGCACACGGTGATTGGCCAACACTATGCAATCTCTTGGAGGCGCACTATTGTGAAACAATTTTGTTGAATTTAAAATCATAATTAGCAAGTTGTAACTAAGTATAAAGAAAAGGCTACATACCATTATATATTTGGGTCTTACAAATATAAAATGCAGCGCATAATTTTTCATGTTAAATTATTCATACAAAAGAAACTTACATTTCTATAACAACGTAATTGATTCCTCTGAAAGCTTACCCATTTTGAGTGCCTTTTGTGTCTATGATAGGCATTACCTCGTTGTAAAACGATTACCTTGATAATTATGAAAGTGAGTTTATCAACATAAAGAGTTGCTTTTGAATGAGTACTTTTCTTTCAGTTCTACCTGGCTATCAAAATTAGTGTTAATTATCCAAACAGCATGTTTTCTGTGATTCCACGGGGTACAATGGTTGACCCGGGCAATGGTAAACGATCTCATTCGTAAACTGCATCAAAATTATGTTCTGTATCATGGTGTACAACCTTTCTTGACGCACAACAATGTCGAAGTTCAAATTCACGCTATAACGCTGCCCTTGCTAAATGAGTAACTTTCATACATGGTGTCAAGTCAAATACAAATAGCGGGTCACGTCAAAGGAGATGATCGGGTGCAGCGAGGGAGTCTGTCGAGTCTATATCTGGTAGGCCAAGGAGTCGGCATAGGCCCCCACTTCTGTCTTCGGTTCCCCTTCGTCCCTTGGCAAAGTATAGCGGAACACGAACACATTGTTCTGCGAGAAAAGAAAATCGAAGATATAGATACATTGTCAGAGAGAAAAGTCTTTGCTATTTATTCCACCCGGTGAACTGTGGAGTATCTCACTGTATGAATTCGTCTTTCCATATTTAAGGTGCAGCAAACTTCTTCCTCTGTGGACCCCCCCAGTTTGTTTTAACAAGCTAAATCCAGAACGAACTGTTTTTTGTGATGCCAACTGGTTTTTTTTGGGTGGCCAAAATATTTGGGAATTTCTTCATGTCATGAGTGTGGTAAGGACTTATTCGAGGGCCGCGGAGGAGGAGGCAAAGCACATTTCTCAAGGAGGGAATATTTCTGATGGGGGGGCAAGGCTCTCGTCAGGGACATAGTGAAAAACCATCGGACGGTAGTCAGTACAAAACATATGCCGGATGTTTCGTATACTGTGACCCTCGAGAGACTTTAAGACCTGAAAGCTCAAACGGAAGCAGTGACGTATCCCTCCCCCGACGATTTTTCCTTCCTTTTTCCCTTTTGTACTACGAAAACAACACCATGAAATAAAAGCAAGGATGTCTGGACCGTGAGTGAGGCTTTTGGTGTCTTTTCCACCCCAACATCATGTTCACGAATAAGCCCGAAGAGGCATTCGCATTTGCCTCCCCCACCCCCAAAAGCTGGATAAGTTGCTGAATGACGCAACTAGGCTGTGGTGTTCCTAAATATGGAAAACCTACTCACGTGGTTGAGGTTGGCATCCTGTATTGCCAGGAGCAGCGTCGTTATGCCAGAGTTGATATTCTCAACTGTGGACGGGCCTTCCAGATTGGTCACGTAGAGCGGCTGCCGTGGGGCGCCCTCTTCGGCGTGATACTCTAATTTCATCTGAGGAACACCATGCACAGCCAATGACAAAAAATGTGGACAAATTGCTGAGATCACTAGACCCCCATGAAAATCAAAAACATCTTCGAAAAAAAAGTCAGAAATACATTTATATCGAAATAACTGAAACTAGAAAATACACTGCAAAACAGCAGAGCAAAATGCAACAAACTCGAGATCTTGGATTACCATTTGACTACCGTCTTCCTATGCTGGTACCTTTGGTGTTAAATCCACACCAAATTTTGCATTGCAGAAAAAGTACTATCAGGAAGCACGATACATGTCGTAACGAAAAGCCTTAAAAGATGCAATTAATCCGTGAAGCATCTCCACGAGATATATTTCTTCGCACCGGAGGAAAGCTGATACCAAACCCTCTCCAGAACACAGTTATTTTCCCCGCAGCATTTCCATCGAAAGTAACATCCGACTGGATTTTAAAATCACTTCAGTGAAATGCTAAAATCAAAAGATTGCTTTGCTGCGTGAAAGGTTTTTGTACATCGTATCAGGTATTCCGCAGCATATATGTAGCTGTTACACCATCCACAAAAATTTGGCCCTCAAATTTAAGAAGAGATCATTACAAATTCCCTTTGGGATGTATTGATAAAAAGAGAATTACCGTCTCATGGTAAGTGTGAGAAGGAGCTATGTAGTTGGTTTTTATTATGCCAAGTGTCGGGGCAGTGATGCGAGTAGCAGGGTGTGGCTATAAGGCGTGTGAATGGCGTAGGTGGCATTTGCAGTTACCACGCAGCAGTACAGTTTGATTTCGATTTCCAGCGAGTTGTATAAGGGTATGCTTTATTATGATTGTATAAGACATTTTGCAAAACTAAGACACAAACCCTGGAGCGCGTCATGCTCGATTGCCATCGGGGGTCAGGTAGGAATTTTCCAGAGTTTTCCCCTTATGTTATGGGCTCGGGTTTTATCTCTGGTTTTTCACGTGTCTTGGGGGTTTGTGACTTTTCTGCGTTTAAATCAGAAGATGCTGATATACATAATTATGAATCTGTTCCTTTTTGTGTAGTTTCGACTCTGCAATTACAGACTCACGGAGAAGCTTCACAAGAGCGTGGGTGACCGTTGCCACAGCAAGAATAAAACAGTTTGGAAAAACAAAAGAATGGAAAGTACATTTTGAAATTGATATTTGTCTGTCGGGGCTGAGGTGAGATAATGTGTTTCAGCGACCACAGGAACGTTGATTAGACAGTGGAGTATCAAAGTCCCACTCCTCAAAGGCATGAATCTTTTAAGTGTGAAAACGTAGGCTTTCCTGCAGCTTTGTAACTGCCTGACAATATTTTTAAACATTAGAAATACTATACTTACACCATTTCCTGGCTGGGTCAGTGGCAGCCTGCCAGCCTCAGGGAGGAAGGCGCAGGTCGTGATGACTTTGTTGCACCCGATGCTCTTGAAATCAGACACGCTCAGCTGCAGAAAGAAGAGGTAAAGATCAGACCACACAGCAGGGTGTTTGGTAAGTCCTGTGCAGACGTACCTAATGATTGGCCGGTATTGAAAATGAAATGGCCACACCCATATCTGAAAGTTCTTTCTGACTTCCTGGGTGGATCGCGTAGGCGTTGGCACCATAAACGGTTAAATCAAGCCTTTTTATAGAAAGGAAAATTCCGCAAGGATAACAAGTGGTTTGAAAACATCAAATGGAAATAGTAAGGTAATTAACAGTAAGACAGAGTTGACAACGGCTCCGCACACTACCACTTTCTTAGTTAACGCACTGCAAGGTGCGTTAACGGGTCGTTTTTATTGGCTCGAGCCAGTGACGGAAAGCACTTAGTGTTGTACAGAACCACTGTTCCGTGACAGCTGCTCTGCACAAAACTCAAAACTATTCCTTCGGAAATATCAAGTCAGACATCGTTGGATTCGTCTGTAGAATTCCGCTGAACACCTGAACGGCAGTTCTATTTTACGCAGCTTGAATAGTTTTGGTGAACGTCAATACACATCGCAACTCACATAGGACCAGACAGGTCTGGCTATGGGCTCGACTTCATAAAGGGCCTGGAAGTATTCATACAGCGGGGTTATAGCGTCATTGAAAGCATCCTCGACGTCACAACTAGTAGTCGCTTTGCAAACCCACAAACCTGAAATAAACAAAATAATTGCCCAATCGGGGTTGCACCACTTATTAGTGTCATTTGAAGCAAGATATGGGACGGAGAGAACCCCCCGCCTTTGTGTTGGTCATTGTTTGATCGGAATCTCAGGAATTCTTTACCGACTTCTAGGGGGGATGTGTTAGGTAACAATAGTCTACAGTATGCATAGGGATTGGTCAGGTAAGGGGGTGTGCCGTCCCATATCTTGCCTGGTATAGTTAGTGTAATAAACAATTTACCGTGTAGCCTAAGTGGGTTTGGTTAAGATTGCAAGGATATCACACAAACAAACCGTATCAGAAATCTGGTACCCAGCTTCATGAATACTGGTATCAAAGAACAGATCCCATGCATTAACGGGGAGAAGTCAAGGTTGTACTTACTCGTTTGATACACTCTTTCCTCGAACGTGGGATGAGAACCAACAGTCTGGTACATAGGGCACAAAGTCTCGGCACTGCACCCAGAGCCAGCTTGGATGGAGTACGTGGGATTCTGCTCGGGGCTGAATCAAAATTAGAACGGAAAACTTAAAAACGCCCTGGCTGGAAACTTCTTTGCAACATGTCAAAGCAAGCATCATGGGCATGGGCGGAAATCCGAGGGGGGACACGTCCCCTCCATGAATTTGGTACGGGGGGCACAGTGTCGAATGTCCCCTTCATATTTTAAGCAAAACAAAATACTAAAGGAATTGATGGATGGAGGATTTTCCCTTTTGAGCTTTCATAAATGGAATAAGATAATAAACACCATATGCACAAAAAAGTGTAAATGGATGCCCCCCCCACGGTCAGGGAGGGATTTCCGCCCATGTTCATGGGACTTATTTTTTCATAAACTTTAACTGTAAAGAGATCAGTTATAATGCTGTTTAGCATCAGTGTCTGCAACTTTTAAGTTTCAAGTGTATTTCGCCACAAATTGATACATTTGCTTTGAAATAGTGAAACAGGTCCGTATGCAATCCGAGAATTTAGGAAGTTTTATAGGACTTTTGTGGGAAATATTCACTCTCACTGTATTATGTCAAATATGTATTTGTGAAGGGCTTAATCGTCTCTTCAATTCAGAGCTCTTACACTTGCTGGGTACAATCAGCTTGGACGATCCAGATCTCCCGACGATGAGGTAGAGGTCGCCACGGGGCATCGAAGGCTGTGAGGTGTACCAAAAGACCAAAGCTTGATTATTTTATCCTTGAGCATTTTTAACATTTGCCACAGATATACAAGGCAGCATTCAACAACTGAAGTTAGTCAGTCAGTGGCCAACTTCCAGACTAAAATTTAGTAAAAGTCTCCTGGAAATACCTGTTCCAGAGTATAATTTAAACATTTCCTTAGTTTATCTGTGTACCGATACCAAGCTTCGGTTACGTGAATTTTCGTGTCAGCTCGGATGAAACCATGACGATTTATTGCTGCTTGAAAAAGAGCTTTGATAATTCTTACAACGACAGAAATCGTATTGAATGACTCATAGTTTTGTGACAATGCTTTTAAACACATGCAATGAGAATAATGATTCCCAATCAATCGGTAATAAATTTGAGAAAAGAAGGATCGCTTCCTTCTTTGTATATTTCTGGAAAAAGGACTAAATACTGAGCTTAAATTTCCCCATTACAGAGCCGGAAACTCCGCCCTTCCGAATGTCATGTTGTCTAATGCTCACAATAGTTGAATGTGCAGAGTATGAAGTCAGAAGTCTGTAGTGCCTAATTTCTTTATTTTTGTTGAAGTATACAACTGACTCTTCCTTCCAAACTTCATCCATTCAAGATGTGTGTGCTTACAAGCAAGAGCAAATTCATCCTTGTCATAGCACAGTGCCCGGCTGTCCAGTTCCGTTTTCATTCTGGCCACTTTGGTGTCCACTAAATCTTGGGTTGCCTTCTCCTGAAACGTCATGACGAAAACTTCCCTTGCCTCAATCCTGAATAACTCAGTTCCAACCTGAAAAACAAAATTGTCTGATTGTAAGTTCCCAATTGAGCATAAATATATAGGTTCTAGTTCTGTTCTGGCCGGGCTTGGCTGGGCTGGGCTGGATTGGGTTGGGTTGGGTTGGATACGGTTTGGTTGGGTGGAGTTGGGTTGTTCCCAGCCTAACCACTTCTACGGATCAAGTCGATGCAGTAGTGCTTTCATTATATACAGTTTTAGAGGTAGACATGGCGCCAGGTGGGTGTTATAGTTATGGATAGCTCGATGTCAAGGTCACACGGTACACATTGTAGAAGCAGCCATATTAGCGTTGCATGTTGGGAAACCAGCATTGAGCCAGAGCGATGACCGTTTAATCTACTTGCCTCAGTGGGTTCAGGGGGGTTTCGTTGAGCTTCTGTAGGCATGTGGAACATTAGATTATAGGTGAAGTCACATCCCTCAGGCGGATTCTCTTTGGACTTATGGACAAGCACTACTGGTGGAACACGTGTGATGTTCTCATTTCGACTGTTGGCACCTGTTGGTACAAAAAAGTAAGAAAATTCCCTTAATTATATGCCAGTGACAATGAGCATGACAGTTGCATAAAACTGCGACAAGATTGCAAATAATACCTATGGTTTGAAATTGGCATTGACAAAAAGTACTGGGATAAGAAATTAACAGCGGAAAGAATGACCAACCGATCCATAAAATGCAAAATGCTACAGTAAAATCTAACCTCTGAAGTAGCGGTGAAGAGGCATGTATGCCGTGCTGTATGCAGCGCTCATGTTGCATGTGTTTGTCCTGCGGAGAACGTAGAGGTTGCCAGAGAAGTGTCGCCTCTGGATGTCATCGGTCAGGCTCTGCAGCACGCGATAGCTGGGACAGTCTTTGCCTGTACATATGCCCGTTTTGCGAATAAACGACGTTACCGTAGCTCAGTGTAATCACGCCTGGCCCTACAGGTTACCCAAGGACATGCAGTTCAGCTCAACTGTTTGTGCATTTGATTTTGATAGCATAATTCTGCGTTGAACGTTTGGCTTAAATTAATACACCTGGTAAATAAGCCAAAAATTGAACAAAACTTAAATTCATCCGTAAAGTATTGGCACAGCTACCATCAATGAAGCAGGACTGAAGGGTGTCCCCTAAAAACGCAACGCAAAAGTAACGTCTTTTTCCAAAAAGACTGCCACAAATTATTCTTATTCATAAGTCTGTGTCAACTTAAAACTTATAGCGTTTTCCAAATCTGCTGAGATCTTTTAATTACGTAACAATTCATTGGTGAGGGGGCTCTGCCTGATGGAAAACAAGATTCTTCAAAAAGTATACACAACACATCTTTGTGCCTAGTCTTCAATAAAACTTTTCTGACCATACATATTAGTATCATGCAGCTTTCCTGAGATGTAAGACTGTGCCCATTTAGAAACGTCTTATGTGCTCCACGGTTACAGACATAAATTGCGCTAACGTGTCTATACTGGCTTGTCACATTAGGATTTCTACACAATGCTCCACATACCTCGATGTTCGCAGGGAGGAAATTCTCCTTCTTCTAATGTGCACTGTGGAGTTTTAAGGTGCGGGTCCATGTACACGAGGATGTCATTGCGACGACCAAAAATCTGGGTGGAACTGTAAAAAAAAAACCCAATGAAATAAGTTTGGAGAACAGACGCTGTAGACAAAGGGTGAGGGTTTCCCAGCACCTGACCTCGCATTTCCTCTTCCTTTGTTTGTTGTTTGGGGTTCTTTGTTTTAATACGTGTCCTTCAAGGTGGATTCTGACTCTTCCTCCTTTTTTTTCTTTTTGTTAATCAAAAAGTAGGGCAAAACCCTTTTGATTCCCGTGAACCATCAGGCTTTTCATTTGAATTTTTTTCATTGTTTAGTGTCATCGTGTCTGGTAGTTACCTCTCTTATAGCGTATAGGTAAGGTTAGAGACGTCTGTCCCCGGCAAAGATTGAGACATCACCGATACCAGCGGGGTTAGGTAGGTAAAATTATTCTCCCTTTTGGCAGGACAGACGTATCCCCACACTGCGGTTTGGGTACTAGCGTGGTGACATTCATTCCATTACTTTAAAAAATCCATTTATTTCCTTCAGTTGTACCTGCACTGCGCATTTGATCATTTTTATGGAAACGGCGCATTCTAAATTTTCAGTTATTATTATTATCCTTATTACTGATGAAAGACAGATCCACTGAAACTGCCACATGCACTATCACAAACGTACGGTATGTACACAGGCACCCAAAACAAATTACGCACGTACAAACTAATTCTTCAGCACATCATTTGGCAGGTTGCCAAAAAACGCGCCACCTATTGATCTGTTACTCATTGGCTGTGAAACACTGTTAGCATCAATCTAATAGACCGATTGCGCCAACTAAGTCACGTGACCTATAGTGGGTATCAAACATCAGCAAACGTATCGTCCTCCCAAAGCAAAGTGTGTCATAAGTGTCGTTCACCAGAAATAAAGCTGACGGTTGGTAAAGTACGAAGACTACTGATGGGCTGAGCAACATGCTGAAAATCAGTTTAATGTTTGGTAAACAACAATTATGACACACGTTGCCACAGAAGGACGCCATGTTTGTTGATGTTTGATACCCACAATAGGTCACGTGACTTAGTTTGTGCAATCGGTCAATTTCGTTCCACTTCTATAAGCTGTTCATATGAGGCAGCTGATGCCGGCTGACCAATGGAATTCTAAAGTCCTCTTTCTTAAACAAGATCATGCTTACTACTTCAGTCCTCATTACTTATCAATTAATACTCACTAGTAGTACTGATTTCTGGCCCACCGCCAGGAACTCATATAAGACTCGCCAGCTTCATCGAGGAGGTTCTGCAACCTTATCAACATTTGCTGGTCTTTGAATTCGAAGGTGAAGCCGGTGTAGTTCAGAGCGAACATGGTGGCTGCAGGCTCATCTAAAATGCTCACCTGTCAGGTAGACAGTGTTTAAAGAACAATGCATATCAAAGGTTATAAGAGCATTCCCAACATTTTTGGAGTAAGTATGGTAATATTACTACATTATATCCTACGGTTGTCACCCTACGAAAACAAAGTAAAACCGCAGATACTTTTTAAACATGAGGCTTATTTGGATTTCCTTCAGGAATGATTTCGGTCAGTTTTAAATTTTATGATCAAACGTGCAGAGGGAAGCATAGTAGTAGCACAGGGTAGCAGTGGTGTTAAGTATTTCTGGGATTTGCAAACGGCCACAGCTTTCAAACTTTCATAGGGTGTAGATCTTATTGAAGAAGGGGGCTAACAACGGATTCATGAAAATACGATAACCACAAACGTTTGATTACAACTGGGACTTCGAAAACAAATTTGAATCAAAAGTCTGTAATGTAATAGAAGCCAAATTGTGGATACGCCATTTAACTGTTTCTCAGTTCCCAGCTTGTCTTTATCTCAGGATGTGACTGTCTTTCAAAACGATACCCCCTTATACGGGCCAAAAGGGCTCCGAAATGCTCCAATAAGTGGGCCAATTGAATGATCTCAAACGTTTGGATCGCAGTATATGGCTTACCATTAAGCTGACTATAAACTTCAAATTCAGGGGACAAAGTCCTATCATACTCACGGCAGGGTCCAACGGTTCCGGGATGTTTTTATACAACTCTGGCGGCAGATAATAAGCGTACGTGTAATCCCTGAACACTTCAAATATGTACGGTGACTTGGGCCATTCCTGCGTTATTCGGACCGGGTATGTATTCTGGATCTTCACACCTGAGAAATAAATCAGCAATACAGATTGGAAACCAACAACCTTGTTTAGGAAAGGGGTTACATTTCAATATTCAGGTTACCTTTTTCAATTAAGTACATGCCAAAGCACGCTCAGAATCAAATGTCCACCAAAATCTGATTTGTAAACACAAATGATTTTGTTGTTTCATTTAAACTACCAAAAATGTGAAAAAGGTTTCTCCACTTACTAAAAGTATGGGTGTTGAAAACTTGTCTCAGGATAGATTGATTTTAGACTTGATTTGATTTTATGTGCGTGAGTGGGGGCGTTTGGGTATGTTCATTTGTTTGTTTGTTGGGTTGTTGGGTTCTTTGTTTTTTTGTTTGCTTGTTTGGTTTTTACAATTTAGAAAGTTTTGATATTACCACTTCCAACCGCAATCTGTATCTCTGTGTCTCTCTTTCCAGTTCTCTCCCTTTTTCTCCTTCAATATGTAAGCCTTACCCTGATCATTATTCCCATCGAAGTATCTGTCCAGCTTCGGGAAAGCGTCAAATTTCCCCACATCAGAAGACACAGCGTTGACGGTGGTCGATATCCACACGGCCCGCTTATATTCCCTGGCATCGTACTCGGTGGTCCTGGAGGAGCAGAGCTGCTTGTACTCGGGCTCAGACGAACTGGTGATAACGGCCGCCGTAACCCCGGGCCTGGGGGCGGCCGGGACGGTCTCCCGGGGCGCACAGTTTGGCGTGGCAACGTTAGGGCTGAACAGAAGCAGGACCTCATTTTGGCGACCTGTCACTTCCCAACGCCTGGATGGGCATCATTACAGAAAAAAGTAGAATATCTTCCGTGAATTGTCAGAATTGGGCAATCGGTGCTGTCCATCGATTTTCTGTGCAAGAATGACTGAAAGAATTAAGCCACGGAGAACAAAGGAAATCGACAAAATGAAGTCGAAGTCGACGATTTCCTTTCAAAATAGCTAGGTGATACTTTATTAAAAACGTCATAACTTTATTAATTTGGACGCTGCCAACATACACGTTGGGCCGACTCACAGTCAACGTTCGGGCACCGATACGGGCTTTCACGAGGCAACTAGTGTATCGAGGACTTTTTCTGGAACAACTGAAACATTGTTTTCCCAATCCTACACCCCTTAGAATCCTCCATCAACACCAAAGCAAGTTACTAGTGCCGTTCATGAGGTGTTGGAGCTTTTAACAAAGAAACATGGGCAGTGCGTGCCCCTAGGAGGGGCAAGTTGCACCCTTGCCCTCCCCGCTATATACACCGTACTACGATGTCCTAAGGTTATCAAATCCGAATCCTATGTCAATACCCCCCACCGTACCCTCCCCCCAACAAAACCCCTCACGTATTGTAGACGTCGACAAAGAAGAACTCGCGTTGGTATTCTTCTCGCTGCTCATCCAGAAGATTCACCAGCTCGCCCCGCTTTTGGAAGTCTAAGAAGGCGTAGTTGTAACTTGGGAAGGTGATGACGAAGTACTTCCGTGCCTGTTCTCTGAGGATAACCACCTGTGGGAGGGAACAGAAGGTGATGGGCTATGCCGCTGGTTTGTCCTTTTCAGCCTTTAGAGGCCAGCTTTGCGTGGGGGTGGTGTGAATGTTGGTTTTACCTGCCTCTTTGAAAAAGAGTTTAACTTAACTCCCTAAGTAGTTAAAAGATCAATTTAAATCTGTCCCCCTCAAGGTGAATTTGTCCCCTGCCCAACGGTCCTGTCCCCCTGAGAACGTGTCCCCCGTGCATCATCACCAAAACTGTGTACTGAGTCGCTTTATTAGACAAACACCGTGCTTTTTCAGGATTACTCGTTGCTTCAAAACACGACGACTGGATGAGGAGCCTGATCAGGTATCCATGGCGATTCAAGTCTGAAAATGTCTGCATTTGGTGTGCTTGAAGGCCAGCAGTGATAGTTTGAAGCGTGCGCGGACACTTTTAACCGGTTCTATATGCTTCGCGCAATGCGGAGCGGCGAGGCGGCATGATGCCAAAGCAGTCCTTCCTCTAAACAAGCATCAACGATGACAGTAAAGTTAGTTTGGCACTGGACACTCAAATAGGTTTGTACAGAGAATGTCCAATGTCGAGAAAAATCAGACATTCCCTGTACAATCCTATGGGAATGTCCAATGTCAAATTTAACTTTACTGTCATGCAGCTACGATAGCTCTAAGCGATGGCTACACGACCCCGCGCCGAGAGACTGAGACTTAACACGCGCACAAGAAGTCTGCTGACTACGCTCCCTTATCTGATTTCTTGCAGAAACAAGAAACATTGCAGAAACATTTAAATCTCATGCCCCCTTGACAACTTGATGAAGGGCTGAAAAAAATGACGGTATTTTATGTGGATTGAATATTGGTAATTCACAATAGTGACCCTCTAATAGTTTGCAACATGTTGACTAATCACAACGCGCAAACTCTGTCGACCCTTCCAATTAAACGCGCATTGGGTTGATAGATTTTCTTGGAGGCGCACTATTGTGAAACACCCGTATTCATCAATCTGATTCGAAAATAACAAGTTCTGTGTGGCCAAACAAGGGGGGCAAATTACCTATAGAGACGACATAACCTGGTCTGGAGGAGGACAGATACGGGGCGAGGGGGACACTTTTACCTAGGTAAATCTGTCCCTCGGACAGTTGCCAGGGGCAGACCGTTACACTGCTAACCCACTTGACTTGAGCTGCCTAATTTCACGTGACCTTTCGACTGTCTCCAGCGGTTTCCAAATGTCCCAAGATTGGACCGTGCACAGTACATAAGTCCTCAAGAAAAATTAAAAAACACTATGTGGAGTTTTGAGGTTTCTTAAGTAGCATACTGAAACAATTCTCCATCACAGGTACGTATGGGCCTCGGGCTGGACCAAATTTCCTAGACGGAGGCTCCTTTGGTACCAACTGCGCATCGCTACCAACAAAATGAATACTCCCGACCAAAGCAGCTCTTTTAAACGGATGAGGGGTCCTTCTATTTGAGAAGGATTGACTATGTTACCGTACCTTCATAGCACCCCTTCATGTCATTGACACTCGGGCATGAAAGAAAGTGTGTACTCACATCAGTGTCATTGGGCTCAGGTGGGTTTGCGTGCAGTTCAGGTGGCAAGTACATATAGTACACGAGTGTCTTCTGCTCGATGTCAGGCCCCCAACGGCTTGTTGACGGAGGACTCTTCAAACGCAGTGGGGTCGTCATCCGTATTTTGAGACCTGAAGCAAAATGACAGGTAATCGTCCATGTACTCTGGTCATCACGTTAGCTTCAAGAGCTCTGCTTCAGATCGCAGTGAGAGATTCAGGACTTTCCAGAGCGAATTTTACACGCTCTGACTAAGGTTGGCTTTATTTCTTGTGCCCAATATTTTTAAAGTTACTTTATGATGAAATACTGGAGGACATCCTTAATACTTAGTCTGAATCTCAAGAATTTAGGAAGACTACTGAAAAATACAGAGAAACACAAACCGACAAGATGTAAAATGGTGTCTAAAATGCATCGCTCATCATAGCAAGACAGGTCGTCACAGGTAAAGCTTGACTAGTTTGAACGCAAGAGGTATATCACTGGATTATTTTGGAGCCACGTAAAAATGCACCTGGGGGCCACGGGCACCCCTCAAAAGTGAGCAAGGTTTTTTCTGAAAAGAAAATAATGTGAGAAAGGCGGTTTAAGGTCAATTTTATTTCCATTCCTTAAATTTTTTTTAATCCAACATGTTGTCTCATCCTCAAAAAAGGGCAATAGAAAATTACACGAAGAAATCCAAATTCTTTGTACCCCCCAAAATACAAGTTGGCTCCCCTCCCCCAAATTAGTTCTGAGTCTGCCCTGACGGTTGATGGTGGAATCAACCGAAAGCAGAAGCACTCTTCGAAATGGACAGGACTAGATGACATCCTAGATGGCGCTATTCAGGGTATACTCCTTTAACTGACTGCTAATGGCAAAAGTATGGCAAAAAGGGGCTGGGTGCCGCAGCCCCACATGTGCCCGTTAGGTATACACTCCTGGTCACGGGCGTAGCGAGGTGAGGGTGCAATGGGGTGCTTCCCCTTCCCCCCAATGCACTAATGAAAAGGGGAAACACAACAGGGAAAGGAGCCAATTGGGGAGACAGGGGGTGAAAATCACCAGTTGCTTGAAAATACCCTAGAAGTGGTACCCATCCACGGCCAATTGCTTCTCGGTTGGCTGCTTGTGAGTGTTTCCCTGAGAAATTTTCCCTTTTGAAAAAGTGCTTCCCGGAAAAAATCCCGGTGACGCCCATGCTCCTGGGCAGACCTACAGCTCATAGCAGTTTGTTACTAATGTGGCATCCTATTTTTAAAGCCCTGCAAACTAGTTAGACCGTTCTGTTTTGAATTTTGTTTATCTCTTTTAGTGTTTAGGGTTGTTGCTGTCGCTGCTTCGCAGCTGTCACACCGCAGTCATCGATAAGTTGTTGTCATGGCAGAGTTGTAATGACTCGAGTCAACGACTCTACTCGAGTCTGACTCGAGTTGCATTTTTGGGTGACTTGACTCGACTCGAGTCTGCTGTAAAATGACTCGACTCGACTCGAGTCACAAAAATCAGTGACTCGTTACAACTCTGTGTCGTGGCCGGCTGTCACCATTCTCACTGCGTGGCTGCTGGTGCACATGTGTTTATCGTCGTCGATTTGTATGAAAGGCATTATTTTGTTGGTTCTTACTTACCACGATCGTTTCCACCGTTGAAGTAGTTCTCCAGTTTTGGTCGGGCAAACAGAACAGCAACATCGCTGTAAGGGCTATTCACGGTCACAGCCACCCAAACGGAAGCACCGTACTCCCTAGCCTGATAACCAAAGGACACTCGGGGATCGCAGAGCTCCTGGTACGGTGGGAAAGGCCGGTAATTCAAAATCGGGTTCGGCTCCCTTTGAGAAATGAAATCATGATGACAATTTCATCATAACTGTTGTGAATCCATGCATTCCGGCCCAAGTGGAGTAGGGGGGGGTCATAAATTGCCCTCTCGGGAAACATGTCTTTGTTGTTGTGGTTTGAAATTTAAGCGCCAGCATTTTAGAAACGGTACGAGGTAGGCACAGGTAAATCCCGCCTTCTTTTCATCCTGAGGAACCAATCAGAAGCCAGCATGGCATTTGGGGAGGGGTGTAACTTAGGAGATGAGGAGGAAATGATAGGATGCAAGAGGTTCCAAGTTACCCGGCACTCCCTGCTAGTCTCCCCATTCCTTCCCCACATACCCCCACAATGCTGGTTTTTCATTGGTCCATCAGGAAGAAAAGGGGAGGGGCTTAACCTACATTGACTTGACGCACTGTACATGTACATCACACCGTCTAACACTGTTTATACAACGTTGGAAAACCAAAACTGAAATTTCGTGTCCGATGAAGGTATATATACATCGTGAGATTTACTTCCTAAAAAGATAAGATCGGGCGTACGGGGTAGACTGATCGCGACCGTGATACCTACAGCATTTCAGAATTTTCAGTATCTCCGCTCTTTGTATTTCCCAGAGTTGATGAGTACATGCGATTCACAATAGCGCGCCTTCAAGAGTTTGGAACGCGTTGGCTAATCACAATGTGCCAAAACTGTCGACCCTTTCCAAACGCACATTGGGTCGATAGTTTTCTCGTACTGCAATTGGCCAACGCGTTTCAACCTCTTTGAGGCGCTGTTTTGTGAAACGCCCGGAAAGCCAAACACGTGAATTGCTTCCCACGTCATGAAAAAAAATCACTAGACTATTGTAGAGGTCATCGTATCACTCTGCCTTACACACATTCTGCTGAAAATGATTCTCTCTATCAACTCACCAGCCAAACCAGCTTCGAACAGAATTCCAGGAATTGGTGAGCCATGACCACACACTACCGGTTTGTGCCTACAAGATAAAGTGAGATTAATTACAACCATGAGAGTTTGTTGACATCGAACATGCATTTCTTTTTTATTTCGAATCGACATAATTTGCAACTGATCTAAACAGAAAGCACTGTTTGATTTAATATTCAATGACATTGAAAAAAAAAACAGGCATGCATTAAGGAAAACGAACCAAATCACGGATGATCACGTTGCCTATACGTCTGCACTGGTAAGCAAGAAGCTATGGCTTCCGAATACTAACCAATCAAGTTTATGTTGTTTTTTTGGCAATATTCAGACCACACAGAGAATAAGGTATGAATAATTCTAAACGTTGACGTAAGGGGCAAAACCTGGAATAGAATTAAATTTAATTAGACAAAGAAAAATTGAAAATATGCATGACTGTTGATCAGTGGCGTATCCAAGGGGGGGAGGCAGTAGGCAACTTGCCTCCCTGATTTTTTTTTTTACAAATAATACTTCATCGGAAAGAAAGTAATCGGTATATTTGTCAAATATTAGCACCAGAACCCTAAGACAACGCCACCATGAAATAAAAGCAAGGAAGTCAGGACCGCGAGCAAGGTTTTTGATATTTGTGTGTCCCCCTAACATCATGTCAGATGAGCCCGAAGCCGCATTCGCTTTTGAATCCCCCCCGACACCAAAAGCTGGATACGCCGTTGCTGTTAATGTTTTTGATTTCTGTACCATCTGCTAGGCGTAGACCGGAATCAGACTAGTGAACTGACACCGGCGAACTCGAAAGTCCAGTTGTTCAGATGCCTGGATACCGGGTCAGCGCTACCTTTTGTACTTCGCCCTACTTCGGCTTGATAAATTGAAGGGTAGCTGCAATCAGTTTTTCTTTAACACAAACGTTCAAAATGCATCTTTTTGTCTCGATTAATCTTATTTTTCAACTTTTTTTTGACTATTTCCCAGAGTGTTTTACTGCCTTTTTGCTTTTAATACTAATGAGATTTTCGTATTCACGAGCAAAACTGTGATGTTACCCCCAGGAAGAAATTCTCAATGCTACCTTGGTTTGTACATAAAAAGTCCTGAAGTTTTGCAGATTTTGCTGGCCTAAATTTTCTCATCTCCGCCAATTCATTGTTATTTACGTACATAGAATTAAGCAAGCATCAATCCCTTTCTCAGAAAAGTCCCGGGTTCACAGTTTTCCCTTCCTCTCTACTAGTTTTCAAGACATTGAATCATGTGATGAGGTTTGACAGTTCAAGTCCTAAGAGGGTAATTGAGTCATTTTAGAGGGCGATCGCAGTTGCAACTTGCGTGGTGAGAAGCATCACCGCTTTATGGTGGCGAGCTAATAACGACTACCAACGGTATGCCTTCTGTGAAGCTTTACTCTTTAAACCCACTGTTTGCTCGCTGCTGGAGGACCCGCCGTCGGATGGATTGTAGGCCGAGTCGACCAGGCTCGAGTCACGCGAGGGAACGGCCGCCTGGGCCAGTAACCCGAAGAGTCCCACAAGGAACACAAGACGAAACTGAAAAAAAGAAGGAAAAGGAGTTTAATTTTGCAGGAGAACACGCCCTCTTTTTACAACTGTCTCTATCTCCAACACACTTGCGCTGCTGGGCACCCCAATCGTTAAGACACTGATTTACAACACAAACAAAAAATGGTCATTTTAGTTCTGAATGCAAAATTTTCCTTTGTAAAGCTTCATGTTGTATAATTTTGGTTTTCGTTGCTGTAAAAATGATATCGCTTCTACTTCTTGGTGGATATAGGCCTACGACAGGTGTATGACAAAGCAAGTAATTACGGATGGCGTGACTATCCTGTACATCCCATAGCAGATATTTTAGGTTTTCCCGGCCATTTTAAAACGTTTCTCATTCCAATTCACCTCATGACATTTTCAATTTAGTGCAGGATAAAAGCCCGCCCTTGCTATAATCGATTGCGTCTTTAACCATTAAATTTCAAAAGTTGGTCAACACATTTCATGATATCGTTGAGAATGTTTGTCATTAGGCCGACATTTCAAATTCGTCCATGGAATCGCAGAGTCGTGGCATTCAGCAATGGAATTTGTCTTGTGCCAGTCTCTTTGATACTTCATTACTCCCATTTTACTCAAGCGCAACTAAACGCATATTTTCACGCGCTAGGGAGTTCAGTTGCACTGCAAAGAGAACATGGCCTACGCATACTTTTTTTCAATATCGAGGAAAAGAACAAGTTTCACGGATCACAGAAGAACAGTTAAAACAAATGGCTAGAATATCCTCGCCAACGAGATGTATGCATTCTACTAAGTTGCAGAGAGGCTTGACGAAATGATGTAAACATAAATATATGGAATGAAAGTGGTGTTAAATACCCGGTAAAATCTTTATTAAGCGGCAACTATTCGCTCAGAATTCAGTCATCACTCAAACGCTGGTTACAACAGCATTATCCACGCAGCACAGAGTTCATCGATATATAACGTATCTACTATCATAAAAAATAGAAAAGTAGGGATTCTACTATAGGTTAATTTACACTTCTTTCATTTAAGATTGCTTAAGCAAAAGTTTAATTTCGTCAAAGGGGGGTCACTCGCCGTACATGTTTATTCTAATTTCGAAATAACACCACTAGATTTCACTTTCAGAGCATTGTAAGTTACGAGAAACACACACTTATTCGTCCAGTATATTTATCGTCATTATCGTCATTACGTGAATGCCAAATGGACAAAAATAAGCAAGATTGAGGTTAGAAACGAATTTAGGCTGTATTCGGGATAACGTCACAATTTATATTTAGCATCCTATGTGTGTTTCTTTGCTATTTTTAATTTCAATGTGTTTTTCTCTTAGGTATCTATATTTCCAATGCCATCTTCAATAAAAATTCTTCATTTTCTTTATCCAAATCTCAATAAAACATGTGTTTTATTGAGATTTGGATAAAGAAAATGTACGTCGGAAGAATTTACATGAATATTTCTTTCACCTTGCTCTTTGATTTACTAAAACTAGTGTCAATTGTATATTCAATTCCACTGCCATTATTTTGAAAATGTTTATACCCATTAATTTGTATTTGACCACAATGATTTTGGCCCACGGCTTTGTCGAAGTTGAATACTTTTGGCGGGTAATTTCAGTATTAATAGGTAGTATTATTTAGTATTTATAGTACTAATTTTCAATGTTGATAGCCATATTTCCCCATCACAGTGTTCAACAAACTATGAACGATGACCTGATGCGCTCAAATGTGCACTACAACAAATAATTCTGAAACTGATTTGGGTGACTCTTTGTTCAAATTGAAAACCAAATGTTGCTCGAGATATAAGTACATCAGGTTACACTGCTCTTGTTTTAGAGGCTAGAGTTCTTTCTTTCGTTATTAGTTTAATACAAGTTCCGAGCTTCCTGATGAGGCTTCGAATTGAAAAATCGGCCATAACGGATTAATAATAATTTTACAAGAAAATAATCCTCACGTTTAATTTCAGGTTTTGCCCTTACGCCGACGTATATTCATAAACACTGTAAACTCAGTGCTTGTTCGAGAAAAAAAAGTCACAAGCGTACTCGGGTGGGACTCGAACCCACGACCTCCTGCTTACCCGAGTAAGCTTGTGAATATTTTTCATAAGCTCCTGAACAAGCACTAGGTATACAGTGTTCGTGAATATATGTCAGCGTAAGGGAAAAATCTGTAACTAAATTTCACATCTCCCCCACGCAAAGTACATCTTGAAAAATCAACGTTATACTTACTACATTCTTTACGCTAAGATTGAGATTCCCGAACTAAAATTAACTCGGTTTTCGCTCCGAGTTTCCAAAAACAAACATGGGCCTATACCAACCTCCTTTTTAATATAACAATATTAACAACAACCTAAGCCTACGTTATCCGACTTTCTGATTTCATGCATATTAAGCCCTATGCTTGGGATATTTTAGAAAAGGCACATAATGTTCGACGTTCACTGGACATTGCCGACTGCATGCGTGGCGCATTTTGCATGCTGGATAATTTATTGATCAATGAGTCGAAGTTGACCTGTTCACAGGTATCTGATAAGCATTCTGCAGAATTGAAGTCGATATAAAAAGGCAGGTATAAGAATGCATTAAACAAAGTTTTGTTTTTCCTTGTTCCAGAGATCACATTCGTACGAGTTCGTCTTTTGGTGTGGGAATACAGTTCCAAATGATTCAGTCATGAAATCAGTGAGTTCTTTGCGTCTTGCATACTGTTTGGTTACATCACGTTACACTTAGCATCTGTGGGACAAAGATATGAGAGAGCGAATGGATATCTGCAACTAGGAAGGCTACGGTAGAGTACACAGAAAGCACACGAACATTACCATTCTGTTGTTCTCAGCTCGCCAGATATGACTCAGGAAATGAACCCGGAATCATCTGTATTTATGCCACTTGAGTGGGTGGTCCGTATATATACACCAGCAGAGCGTGGTCTAGGGATCGTAACAAACTTCCCACGTGCAACTGAAGTTGATACTTGGTCTGAAGTAAACTATCATTCAATCTGGGGGAGATCCCTTACTCAAAGTTCTTCACCGGGTTACAACCTATCTCTAGCTCTGTGCACAGAGATTAACATACAATGTGTGGGAGTCGGAGTCCAAGTATATAAACAGTCGCAGGGTAACCAAACCACTGTCATGCTGCACGTATTACAAACAACACGTACACAAAAGTCGTACTTACCGCCTGTTCTACGCGATCGTAAGTGCAGTGCTCTGAAGAAAATTCCTATCTTTTAATTTCTCGAGAAGGGGGAATAATTTAGAAAGAAAAAAGACTAAACTAAGTCACTCAAAATATTTGGATCGAATTTCAAGGCAACAGTGCAAAGTGGCATATGGCGGAGCGCCACTATGGCATTACAGTGGTTTCTACTGCGACACGCAAATACGAAGCTGAGTTTAGGGGGCATATGGAAAAACTTTTTCTCTGAGCTCTGAATTAAAAACCGTAAGTCGTACGTGTGACGTAAAAGTCGTACGTAGGGGATAAAAGCCGCACTTACAACTCAAAAAATAATCGTACATACGAGATGTAAGCCGTGTTTACGAGAAATGTGATACGAGATACACGTCGCACCAATCGAGCACCGTGACATACATGCATGTATATACATCGTACTTTTCATACGAGATACTAATCTCGTCCCTATGACGCGATCTTGTACCTGCGATCTACATCTCGTTTGTGCATCTTATAACCATTTATAAATGTACGTACAGGCCCCGAACTTTTAACTAAATCTAAAAGGGAATTTTTTCTGCCATGTCCTTAATGCAGCTTCGACAGCAGGCCATGGGCTGCAACAGACGCAAAACAAATCTTTCAGGGAAGGTAAAGCAGGAGTTTTGTCTTCCTGGTTCAAATCTGCTTCACCTCCGGTTCTGTGACAAGCAAACGGTACTTCCCTTGGGAGAGGGGCCTGCTGACGTCGAAGCCAGCGAGTTCCGGTTTCAGTGGTCTAAGCGATGATTTTTCCTCGGACACACTTTCTGAGATAGCTTCATACTCTTCCCCGGTGTATGAAACCATCAGGCATACCCGTTTCAGTTCATGTGTATAGAAAGAGCACTTCCTAAAATTGTCAGGCTTTTCGGACAACTGAGAGGGGCTATCTTCATAATACTTCAATTAGACGAGTAGGAAGGAAAGTAATCCGTATATTTATTTTGGCCTATCAAATTAATATTAGCACCAAACCCTAGAAAACAACACCAGCAAATAAAAGCAAGGATGTTGGGACCGTAAGAAAGGCTTTTTTCTCCAACATCACGTGGAATAAGCCGAAAGCTGCATTCCCTTTTAGAATACGCCCCCCCACACACACAAAAGCTGGGTACGCACTAGGCAGCTGGATACAGAAACTCAGCATAATAAACAAGACGCTGATATTCCTTTAAAACAACGAAACAAATTGGAAGTAACTTGGGACATAGCATAGACCTTTTAACTTCAGAAATCGAAACCGGCAATTTTAGTCAGTGCCCACGAAAGGCTGGAGCCCAAGTGTCTCTCAATTTTCGGGGGGTTCCGGTAGGCCCTCGGTTACTCCGCCCGGCGGTATGATCCAAAAGTGGTCCGACTGGATATCGTTGAACGCCATATCAGGCCGTGTGAAGATACAGGATGAACCAAGTTAAGCGAAAGAACATCAGTTTATTATTTCCTCCAAGGTGGCAGCATGGAGTCCTTCGCCCTTCCTTCGACAGAAAGCAATCAGTAAATCAATTGGTACTACTTTTCACCGCGGTCATGTCAGCGGGTCATCAAGATAGAGTCAAATTTCGTAACATTGCCACGCATCCGGGATCTTTCTATGCAGTACGTTGTAACAACTAGACTTGAGAACAAGTCGTTAAACAGTAGTGTTTTCAGCGCCAAAAATCAAGGAGTGCGAACCATTATACTACGACATTTACTGCACCCTCTTTTCGACCTCACGAAATGACAGATCACACAAACGCGCAAGGGACTCGAAGATGTTACACGCCGTTATCACAACTGATTGATTGTTAATTTCACACCAAGATTTCACCTTTCATACGCATAATCCCTTTGATTCCCAGTTTGGTCGAGAGGTTAATACGTCGACCTCTATTAGTAAACAGGAAGTCGTAAGTTCGAATCCCAATTAAGACAGTTCCATACGTACATTTTTGAGTGTGTTGCGTACACAATGCGTTCATGCGTTAAACTTTCACGGACACAAAAACTGACCATTAACATAACACGTGTGCGTTGCGTTCGCAACAGGAGCGATTTTGACGGATATGCAAGTGTTTGCGCACATATGGACAGGTGGCTTAAGCCTGTGGTTTTCGCGTTACTCTCTGACCGCACAGAGAATAGTGTCAATAATAACGTAAAGTATAATTCGACAACCGGAAGTAGAAGCCATTATTCTGGTGGTGCAATGCTCGTGGACAGGTGGTACGCGCGCGTTACACGCCTCTTCGACCAATAAGGTGCCTTGATTTGCCAAGTGCACGCGCGCGTCAAGCTGAAGAATGTGCGTGTAATGCGGTGTAACCGCAGTTATGGCGCAAATCGGATTAACTTTATACTATACATGAAGACCCAGCAACTGGAACGATTGCATGTGGCGCTTGGCGAGTGAATAAAACTGTCCAATTCCCGCCTTGGATTTAAGTCTGCGCAAAACTTCAAGGGCAGAGATTTTCTGAGTTTCGAATCCGTTTTGATAATAATGTACGGTCTTTCTTAAAAGTATTTCCGCGGCTGCTTCATGGTGATCGAAGAGCATGATATTATGACACGTAACCACGAATTTCAATTCACTCGGGCCTTAATTTAACTGGTTGAGCCAAAACAATAGAGCTATACATTGTACATGTATATCAAACTGCAGCAAGCTTTGCCCATACTGTTGGCTCCGTGCATATAGTTCTGATAGCTACATGGGCAGTCTACGTGGTTACGACGCCCAAGACTTGTCCAATGGTCTACTTCAAAGAATTCAGTAGAAAACGAACAGTGCAAGACGAATGGAAGGTCTTTTTCAACTTTGGTGTTTTGAACAAGTATGTATGGAGTCCAGAGAGTTTTGTAGAGAATGGTTTCACAAGGAGGAAATCTCCAAGTCTCTGCACGGTCAGCTTTGACAATCACGGCATGAATGGTGCTCACTTGCCTTTGACCCTAGAACATTATACAATTGTTGACAGTGTACGGAATTCAACATGAAATTTGGAATCCGGCTTCCGAAATTGGCTTGTTACGAAATTTCCGAGAAGCACTCGCGTAATTTAGGACGCGAGGTCTGCTGCGGAAATGAATCCGTCACACAGGCCGTGACCTTCTACGCCTGTATGCGCGACTCAACAGGAAATCAGCAGCTGTTTTTATTGATAAATTAGCCACCAGACATGACTGTTATTCAACACTGAAATACAATTATTTTATTTACGCCTTTGAGCAATACAGGCACATGTTTATAGGTTGAAGAAAGAACATAAATTTTCTTCCATGGGTCGATCCAAAGAGATGTATGGGAAACTACCAGTCCTACTGTAGCAACATAAATACTGACGTTATACAAGTTTAATATGTTAGGATTCATTCTTTCTTGTTGGTTTCTGTGGCAGAAATCGTGTTGCTTTTTATTTCCACATTAGGTACAGTTGTTCACATGTGGCACAATAATCAGGCTGAAGAATTCTTCACTTGCTTACAAACGCTTGAACAAACAAGGAATAAACAGAACAACCTGTACAACAGGCCACGGGTGAATTAAAATGAAAACCCACAACAAACACAAATATCTAACAACGTCTGTAAAACCGGCTGCCAACTTCTGTAAACCGATTAATTCAAGCTGTTGATTAATAGGCACGCCACGATCAATGACACAAAATCGCCAAGTCGAAAAGCAAACAAAAACTGATAATTCTGAAGCTGTAAAATATCAGGACCATGGGCGTCACGATAAGGTAGGGGAGAAGCATCCCCTTAGACAAAACGTCAAAAAATGAATTGGTAAGGCTTTCCACTATGCATTTGCTCCGAAAATAAACGCACACAGCAAATGAAGACAGCACTGACATTGAAAGGGGGTGTCTTAGAAGCAATGTTTAGTGCCAGATCTATTTAATGACAGGTGCACTGCTTTCTCAAGCTCAGGGGAGCTCAGGTTGTGTCTGACACCTCCAGATCCCGTAATACCTGTGACACCCCCCCCCAATTAATCCCCCTAGGCTCTACAGGCGTTTTTCTGGCTCGTTGGTTAGCATCTGAAATTATGTGCTGCTTTTTACAAGCTACGTCATTTGGACAATGGCCAATACATGTAATCGATGTATGCTGTGAATTAGCCCAATGCAAGTCAAAGAACTGAAATAAATCTTTGAATGATTATCCAAAGTTGTGACCAGCACAGTTGCAAGATTTAGTTGTCAAAACAGTTATGTGCGATTAACACTTAAGGTACTTGGATCTGGCGAACGGGTCAAGGGTCAGCATGGCGAAATGCCGTTCCCACTGACGTACATTCTGGATCAAAGGCGCATCAACAGTGTTTTTAATGGCGTGCAAAGTTGACATTTAATCCCAAAATCGAGATACACTGTATTTCTAATTCTATTTCAAGATGCACAAAGTCAACATTAAATCGTGAAATAGTAATATCTGTATTTCTAATAGAGATATTACGCAGAAGGCCTTGCCAATCTTGACACGACAGGCCACCAAATACCTTATTTCATGGCAAGCAAATCACTTCATCACAAAGGACTATGAAAATGCAAACGTTGTAGTCGCATGGCTACCAACAAATTGGACACTCCCCACAAACATGGCTCTTTTCATCCAATCAGGGGGTGTTTCTGTTAAAGGTGGAGTGGACTGGAGCATGCCTTACACAACCCGCCCTCGTTCTGAGCACATCCTGGCCCAGTGCCAGGACATTGATTGCGAAACATTGGCTGGCACTGGGATTGCCTTTCGATCAATTACATCAGACAGAAAGGATGAGCCGATGGTTCTGATGTCAAAACGGAAAATCACCTTAACAGCTCTTCAATGTATATGACACATTGACTTCTATAGTGAGGGACACTGTAGAGGATGAATTGGGACTGCAGTCAGTGAGCTCATTAACAGACGGGGGGGGGTGTCACACCTGACATACACCCCACTCCCCATTAAATTGTTTTTTCACTTTTTTTGGTAGTGATATCTTTCCATTGTTTCTTTTTTCTTCTTTTGCCCTTCCCTGGCTATCTAATAACTTTAAGGACAGAAATTCTCATTAAAAAAGTACATCCACTTATAAGTTCGGTTTCACCCCTACTTGGGGCTCCTACTTTCAAAATTGCTGAGTGCTTCCCACCCCCATTTTTGTAAATGCTGGATCCCCAATTGTATAACTGAAAACATAAGTGATAACCCAAATGCACACTTCTTGCAGGAAATCCTCCTTGCTCACCTCAAACATGTATTGGAGTGCCAGACAGATATGTATTGAAAATAAACGAGAGGAAGAGCCAACTCCAGAAAGGTCACAGACATCGTGACTGCACCAGGGGAAAAAAATTAACCCCTAACGCAGATGCTTTAGAGTTTGAGTAAAGGCAAAAATAATCAAGAATGTTGGTTTGAAAGTCAGGCTTGATAGTTTTGTAACTGCCACTTAGTCTGGCTGTTGGCTGGGGTTGGATCTACCTGATATGCAGAAGTCACAGGACCTTTTTGTGGATAGAAACTTGGCTGTATTCCAGTGGACACCCCAGGGTTGTTGCCATGGAAACAATCAGTGCTAATCCTGAATAAACATTGCTCTCTGGCAAAATATCCTGCTGTTCCAGAACAATGATAGGCTATTCAAGGCTAGAATGACAAATTCAAACAGAGAAACGTCCTTGTAGATCGACATGATAATCTGAACCTTGTCTGAAGTGGTAGTTTGATAAAAAAACCAAGGAGAGGGGTGTATGAATAAGGTGTGAAGGATGCTCTCACTTTGAAGGCTCCGCTTCCTTCTTGTCTTTTTCCGTCTCCGTGGCCTGAGCTGCAGCTTTCTCTTGGGCCTGCGGGTGGTAGGAAAAGAAAGATAAATGCCTCAGAATTATTCATCTCATGTTTATTCAACGGCACAAGTGCCACCTACAGGATGATTGCAAATGACAAGATGGCAAAACAACCAGACATATGTGACGGGGGGAACCTAACGGAATCAGGTTGGGACTGAAAACCCAATCAGCATGCCCACCTAGACCTCGGGTCCCAGAGATTGAAGGTGAGAAAGGTAACAGTGCGCCAACCTGCTACCCAATAAGTTGGGAAACTTATTTCTAAAACTTCCTTCTCAAACCCCTTTCCACATACCCCTTTAGGTCCCACACTTTTGAAGTCAACATGGCTGTGGGCATTACTAATCATTCTACCAAAAAAACCACCTCATAAAGTTGTTGTTTTAATAGCCTTCTGCTAAAACTGAATTGCTTTTTTAAAAAAATGATAAGAGTAGGGTTGGGAAGACAATACGGTCATTCTGTGACAATAGCATGTAGGTAGCAGGGTACATGACCAGAGGACAGATACTGGCCCTATCTAAACTTCACCCTAGCAACAATTCCATGGAACTGTTTCTGGGGAACAGTTTAGTATACTCCCGTATGAGTGCAAAAATAGCACCTGGCATGTGATGATGAACGAATCAATGAGCATTTGGTTCTTAATCATGTTCATTTAAATGATGGGGTATGTTCAATCTGTATCATTTCCTTCAAACACAATGTTTTCAATGGAAAGATGGAAGCTGATACACATGTAGCACCAAAGGGCATCAGTTTCAGTGGACAGAGGGATATTTTAACCCCAGATTGTAAAACCCTGCGTATTTAACAAGTACAGTTTACAATAGCAAATTATCACGTTCTGCGAAAGGCTTTAGCAAGCTTCTGTGGAGAGTGACGTTTTGAATGAAAAAAAAAAAACCCAAGCTGCATAGAAAGATGGAGCAGATTGCACCTTTATGTACATTTAAGAAAGGACACCTCAAGCCTTGCGTTCTGTCAGAACACTGGGGCCACAGGAAGAGAAGCTTAGCATGTTACAGCAGGAAAATAACTGTCTAAGAAATGTTCGTTTGGGTATGGTGAATTAAGCACTGTCATTCATCACATGGAATATACAAGTGGATATGCAACCAGCAGTGAGTTCTGTATTGCCATTCATGGTTTCCACGGTTTGTTGAGAGGCATTTTCAGTAGGACAGAATTGACTGTGCAAACTTATGCATTCCTTTAAACAAGCAGGTGGTTTTTTTGGGGGGGTCATTAAAGAGCAGGGTTTCATCTAGGACTATAACGTCTGTCGTCTTTGTTTCCCCAGGCAATTTTAAAAACTGACTGTGTAATCCCGGCAAAGTTTATGAAAATGATACCCTGCAGCAGTCTCTAAACATAATACATGTACATACCAGTGTTGAAGAATTGTGTAATCAATGAAGATTTGTAAATTACATGTATGTACTTGCAAACACTGACTATCCTGGGGACAGGTGCACAGGGTGCAAAATGAAATATTTCCAAGGTACCCCATTCCGGTGCTATCTGTGAACGTACACCACAAACACACCAATTTTTCCTGAAACTTCATTAACTTTGACAACAGATGGTCGTCCCTTTATCCCTTGATCAAAAGGTGAAGAGTTCAATGTCACCAGATGTTTGATTTTGTGGCAACTTTTTTTTTCCCCTTGAACAAATAAAATCAAGGATGGGTCCAACAGTCAGCCACAAGCACAGCCCACAAAATCAGTTAATACTGACTTCAGATAAGCTTTACCCAGTTGCATGTGTACACTTTATTTATTGAAAGATATCGGTGGGACAATGGGTAAAGAAATAATCTTTAAATACTCTGTTACATAAAGACCAGACAGCAAACACTTTGCTCTTTGGCTTTTCTTTCTTTTGCTAACTGATGCCGATGGACTCTCTGCCACGTGAACCTTTTGTAAAAGCAGTGGTGCACGGGGGCGGGGGCACTCGGGGGCCCAGAGTCCCCCAAAGAAGTTTATAATTTGTTGGAAAAAATCTGAAAAATAAAGATACAATTGAATATACTGTACACATATATCTGAAACTACTGTCCCTCATTTAGCCAAACATTTCAGTCTTCTATGGCACAACAGGGGAGGGGCTTGAGCATCATGAGCTATCCTTTTTGGGGAGGGACTTCCAGTCTGAGTCCCCCCCCCCCGACAAATCCTGGAGGTGCAACTGTGCAAAAGAGATACACCACCCATGTCGACATGCCCTTAGTGCCAAGCCCAAACTTGAAATCGCTCTCAATACATGTATAGCCAAAACCATCGCGCACTTCTCTATCAGGTATGCAACTTGAACTTCCACAAAAAAAAAACCAGGAAACTGACTTTGTACAATATTTCCCAGTTTTTAATGGCATGGGTGTGAGTGCCATCCGAGGCAAAGTTGCATTCCTGTTCTATTCATTCCATTCTTCTCTTCAAACATCAGGGGGTTTTAAAGCTCAATTTGGCCCACAATCAGCACCAGTCATCAACCACCAGGCTTTGAACATACTTTTCCAATCACATCTTTACACATTCCTAGCTAGTCTAATAGTCACCTGTGAGAAAATTTTTTCAATTTAAATACCAGACAGACATTTTTTTGGTCATGTCCTTGGAAGTGTTCCCAAGCCTCCGAAGTGGATTGTACCCTTATGTCAGGAAATGAAATTACAACAGTAAGCGTGTCAAATGTTGCGAATGTTCGTGCTCTGTTGGACCTTTCCTACTAAAACTGTCCCATTAAAACATTTCCAAATCATGGGAACGGTCCACTTAATAGCACACAGACTGATCTGAGACAGCATTCTGATGGAAATGCCAATCAGCAATCATTTCCACCAGATGTTTCAAATGAGCAACTTTGGGGTGAATGATTTATACAGAAAATCCATAAACTCAACATTATCTTTCCAAAATGAAATCAACGCAACAGCGCCCATAGTTGTCTCTTGGAGCACGGAAACTTCTTAATGTTTCAAGATGTGCATGTTTCCATACAATTAACCAATGAGGGAGGTGAAACAATAAGTCACTTGCAAGTTAAATTTGAATAAAATCTGGTACACTGTGTTATCCGGTTGCACAGAAACGTAACAATTTAAATTCCCCAGACTAAAGACACTGTTGCTATACCTCGTGATTTAGGGCAAGCTTTTGCATGGCGACCACCATCTCTGGAATGGACTGGTTCCTTTGTGCCGTTCTTATCCATTGAAAACAGTGTATTGTTGCAAGGCATCTCTTATGTAACTAAGCAAAAGCTTGCCTTGAATCACGAGGTATAGCAACAGTGGTTTTAGTATTGAGAATTCAAGTTGTTATGTTCTCGTGAATTTGAAGAACTCGGTGTATCAGATTTTATTCAAATTTAACTCGCAAATGGTTTATTTCCATGAATGAAAAAGAAGTGACAGTTTCATTTGAGGGACATTTGTCACATGGCACCCTTTAAGAATATACAGTGTACTCGTATCCTGAACTAGTGGTTGAAAAAGTTCAAAAACAACTCCCACTCACCTTCTGAACGAGTGGTAGCAATTCTCCTTTACTGGCCAGAACTTTTAACAACTCCATGATCATCGGAAGGTAGTTGTGTTTTCGTCTGATATTTTCCACCTGTTTGTTTTTTTACAAAACGACAGAAAAGTTGCATTTAACATGCCCAGTGTTCAGTGCTGTGTTGAAGTTGAGTCCATCACAAGTCGTTTCGTAAGTCGCTTTCACAAGTCCTTTCATAAGTAGCAGGGTGAACAACAACAGAGGAATGCTTTTGCACCAGTTCATTTCAATGGTTTATGACTTGGCTTGCAACTGGATGACTTGTTTAAGGACCTGTGAGGCACTCGACTACACCACTGGTTCCATATAAACTTGAGACTTTCCTGCAACTTTGAACAGTTACCCGGTATGATGAATTACTATTAAATTAATCTATTCTTCTTTTTATTCAGATTTAATTTCAAGTCTAACTTCTCAAGAACCAACCAATCGGTAACTTAAATCATGTACACATACATTTATCAAATGAGTTCCTGTGGAACTTCCAGGATTTAAGTTTGTCGCCCTCTATTGATCCATTTGGTGACACTGACAGATGCACAACACTAGAGCTTTAATTCACTCAGTCACACAGGTCAATTAATAGTCAAATCACAAGTCAGGTCAGACCATGGAATTAATGCAACATTTACGCCAAAGGATGGACAAGAACGCCAGTGCCATTATTCCGTTCACTTGAATATTAGTTGGTGGTTTAACATTAGACTGTCAAAAGTGCCACTGACTTGCAAACATTTGATTTACACCTCTTCTGCAATGGCACATTAACAGACACGATGTGTTCTTGTACAGAAAGGAGACAAAATGGAGAATAGAGACAGAATTTGAAGGTAAAAGAGCAGACCGGCGTACTATGATTGGCTGCTACTCTGCTGATATTGTGTCACGTGGTCATCACTGCCAGGCCAAATTTCACAGATCTGTTGAACAGTCAACATTGTCTAGCAATTTTATGTGCTAAGCAACAGAATCAGCTAGGAACCAGGTGCAAGACAAATACAGAGCACGGCAGTTTGGCCAGTAAGGTACTGCTAAGCAACCATTTTCTTTGCTTAGCAGATTTACATGTACAAAACTCGGCCCTGGTCACTATCATCTGCAATATAGCCGTGGTGCAGGAAGAAGAGAGGTTAATATATTTGTCAGCTAGCAATGACCCCTATCTGTTTACCTCGTAAGCACACAAATATGGCCTGTCAGGTCACTAGCACACACCCTGAGCATTTTTGAATTCCTCTTCTTAACCCAACACAAGAACAGTGGTCTCAAACGTGACGAACTGACCCGAGAGGGTGTTTGCGGATCGATTTTTTCACTCTGTAGTTATTGGAAGGTAGAGTGAGGTGCAGCAAGAACAAAATGGTGAACTCTGCAGAATACATTCAAACATCCTGGTGGACAGACGCAAATGAGATCTGAATTCTGACTCCTTGCACGGCTGGAATTACCTTTTTTTTGGTAAACCCATGAAATCTCGCTCTCTTCTCCCCGGAAAGAGGGGCTTCTATGATGGCCATACTTTGATCTGTTTCACATTAATCTTCTGAATCGACCTGAAGTAAACGTGCCTGAGTAAGGGTGTCCTTATTCTCCTAATACTTCATTTCACACATGCGTGTCACGGAGGTATTTAACATAAACTTTTTACTTTTGACGCTTCCCGTGCATGCAGTGTCAACGCGGTCTCTTTCTGTAGGCTTTGAATAGTGTAGGGCAATACCAAATTCTCTCTGTAATTTCCTTCGATTTTGTAGGGAGCATGGCTCCGGCCATGCTCCTAATGTAAGTCATGGGGAAGGGTATCCTTCAGTAATTTATTGTTGTAGGTGTATTTTGTATGATGTATTGTCAGAGTTAATGTGTGATTTTCGGGGCACAATGTGACAACTGTTGATATAGTGAATCGTGTATTGTACTGTTGTGCAGTGTCCAACTGACCTTGCTTCCATGTGATTTTTTACATTAGTCACACTGTCATCTCTTACTGTGTCATCCTGCAAACTTTCCACTTACTTTCATTTGAGAATAAATCATGGTTTGGGAGATAGATCATATGTCATTGTGTAGGCCTATATCTGTTTCTTGGTTGAGAGTGACCGTTCCTCCTTCCACCATCCAACTGACGTAGGGCTGGTCCACTACAATAAGTGCAAAGTCCGAGATCTGTCAGCCATTTTGCATTGCTTTGTCTCGATGCGACATGCACATGCCTGTTCGTAACAGCCTGCTCAAGAACAGCGCTGCTGTGTTACTCAACTATTATCAAGGACAAGGATTCGAAAACATTTTCATAGGGACTGAGTGACCAGGAGTGGGTCCCGATAATGTTCATTTGGAAGCCGAATCTGCTTTATAAATTGAAAACTGTCGATGGTACCAGACTGTTTTATACTTTCTGTGCGTTCCAAACCTCCCTTTCAATTTCAATATAGCCGGCCCCATGAATAAAGTCTATTCTACTCACATACAGGCCCCTGAAAGGGTGTATAGATGTGCACAAGTGACTGAAGTATGCCAGTCCATGGGTTTCATAACACAGTCACACTTCTGTCCAAACTTTAAATAACAAAAGAACCTTAGAATTTCAGGGTTTTATTGACAGCACAGTAACCTATCAAACATTTTGAGGATAATACATTACAACTGTGCAATGCCTTGATACTTGTCTAGTTCATGTTGATGCAAATTTCTTCCACCATCTTGCATCAGTGAGCCCCATATAACGATGTATTTTAGCCAAACTACTTTTTCAGGGAACGTTTGAACCCACCTCTTTAGCGCCACCACTTGGGAATCCATACAATTTGCACACCAGTATGCAACATTGGTTGCCATGGAAATGAGACTTTGGTTGCTACAGATATAGTTCATTTGACTGTGCACAGCAAGACAGCAAATATACCAAATGCCATGTGACTAGTTCTTGGCCAATCAAAACACAGAATCTGTGGGTGATTAATTTCATTTGAATGAGAGCAAACCCCCAGGGCGTGCGTTTGGGCACTGGACACTTGGAGTCAGCGGCATTCAACAGCCGCTTCAACCTTCCTCTTCCTCACCGGCTTACCTTGAATCTTTTGGCTTTCTTGTCTTCCTCCTCCAGAAGCATGGTCAATCTGCCGAGCTCTGATTGGATGCTGGCAGCCGTCTGCGGCTTGCTGGCTGACTGGTCAGTTTCCATGACCTCACCCTTGAGGTAACACACAGCACATCAGTAAGTTGCTTACTTTTTTACTCATGACAGCATACCGTTTCAACAGATAACCCGCTTAGAGAGGGATGTAATGCTCGATATGTTGATGCTCAACACTGAACAGATGTAGGGATTGAGTGCTTGTGTGGACAGAGGCATTAAAAGTGAAGATGGTCGCTTTACTCAGTGGAATGTTAAAATGATGTAACCAATGGCAGCAGGGTTACACCTGTCAACCATTACTGTCATTGAAATGCTTACAAAATGCAGCCATAATCCTTAACAACTGGTGAGAGAAAAGTTTGTACTCAGCAGTGCACTGAAAAAGTTAGAAGCTGCTAAAACGTGCACTTATAAATCTGAAAACTTCAGCTGCTACAAATTTGCCACCTGGGGCCCCGCAACTGCAACACTCCACACCACTGCAGACATTTGGGGAGCCATGAAAGTCTTACAAATTGACAAGATACCAGACAGAAGGATCGCAGCATCATTAGAACAAGGCAGCAGCGTGGATTTTTTATTCACCTGCGTCTCCAGTGCGTCCAGTTGCGCTTTCATCTTGTCGTACTTGCGCTGAAATATCATCCGCCGGTCGGAGATAATCGCCATGAGATTGAAGTGGATCTCCCCAGCACTGTATCTTTAAGAACAACAGCACAGACGCCACAGCGGTAACAACGAAGAAACCCCCCCTTATGTAAACTTTCAGTTCACTCTCAGTTCACTTTCAGTATTCTCTAGCTACCACCTGTACTATTTACATGAATTGGGTCAATTATTCAAAATAAAGTCGAGTAACCTGCCCAAGGACAAAGATTTTGGTAAACTGTGAGTTCATGTACAATCATCGGGCACTTAAATGTCGCCACCACTCTATTAAATGCATTCTACAAGTGGCAGCTTCCAATGCTCAAGTCAGAATGAACTAACTTACCAGTTTCGTCAATGCATATTACTTTTTATACCAGCTAGAGGCAACTGCAGTCAAGTATCTTGCTCAGGAACATGAGTCATTGTACCTGGCCTTCAATCCACAAAGTACTTCCAACAGACACCGCGGAATTACGAACATTTTAAAGAGGCACTCACTTTTTTATTCTTTGTTCAATGGCTGGTTTGACAGTCTTAAGCCAGTCATCGGGATCACACTTTCCTTCAGAAAACAATAAAAACCAATTAAAGATGAGAAAAGTACAGTGTATTTTGATGTACTGGTGGTGGTACTGGTCTGTTCCCTTTCTGCTAGGGCTACATAAATAGATTGTGAGACATAATTGTCTGTAAAATACAAAATAACTGTCAATTGGCCACTGTTGTTGGAGTGACTCGAAAACCCTGGAGCGAGAAATCTCATGAACAGCCAAAGCTGTTTCATGAGATTTCACATGTTTGGTGAGGCACTGTTAACCACTTCCTGCCGGGGCATTTATCAATGTTGATGATGCTGGGCCGGGATATTTATCATTTTTTTTCTGTTTTCAAAATTCTTTAAAAATTCCTATCTTCATTTACTGGACACTTACAAATGCGTGAAGGACTGTCTGGTGGCCCTTCTTGCCCAACAAAATCTATTGATGCCCGAGTATTTCAGCCAGGCCTGCAGCCTTTTAAAAAGAGCCCAGATTGTGCAGTGTTACATAACTTTCTTTTGTTCACGAACCTGGCTCAGTGTGCTGCTGACCTCTTTTCAATAGGGGCCAGATTAGCATGTGGAGGTGCTGTGTGGCTCATCACTGCGGTGGTGGATTGCTTTTGTCCCCGTGGTAATCTGCTAGCTCTAAATGCCCCAAACCGGTATACCGTTTCAAAACAAGGCTGGATTATCTCCACTTTTGAGAGTGAAAAAATGTTGGTAATGCCTAGCAGCCTGGTCTTTTGTTCCAGTACGGTCTTTTGTTACAAGGCCCTGTTCCCTTTGTCCGAGTTCCGAGACCCTGCCACGCATATAAAGCATATGTGTCCGGATCCCAAATGCCCGGCAGGGAGTAGTTAATACTTCAAAGAGGAATTCAATCCAGTTACAATAACTTGCCAACTTCGTCTGCCCTGATAAGCAGTAATTTTTCCCTTTGTGTCCAAGGAAGTACCGTCAAACCACAAGTGTCTCTCAAGGGGTGAAACGGAAAACTGCTGTGCTGACATTTGAATGTTACTGTACATTTGATTTCGAGGCAATAACGCACAATCAGTGCCACACGCAAGCAATCAGTACCTGTAATGTATGTCAGGCCTAATTGAATGTTGCTAAGTGGAAAAGTGCCCTCTCTCCTTCACAACTACGAGCTTGGCTGGTCTTGAACGTCCATTTATTAGAGTAGGTATCTATGAACTGTAAATAAAAGTCCTGTCCCTGAGCTCACCTAGATCGACGGGTCCCTCCTTCAACCCGTCCAGTTCATATAACCTGCCGCTGATTGGGATGTAACCGACAAAATGGTAGGCATCCTCATCTTTGTTGGCAAGGGAAGAATCAAACTCAAACATCTGCTGTCTGGGAACATTTCATTACCGGAGTTCAGTTACTGAGAAGGAACTGAAGCTATCAGACTTGAAAAATTACTTGGTGTGAACAAAGCAAATGTTATTTAAGCAAGATGCTTAAGGCAGTACTTCCAATATCAGAACATAGAATGTTCAAAATAAGGAACAGTCAAGAGAGATGAGATCAGATGGGCAAGATGAGCAGGGGTAATAATGATGCGGCACTTTAAGCATTGGTACTGCTCCAGAAATGTCTCTTTCAAAGGGAAACATTCCATAGAAACAGTCCGTTAAACCAAATGAAAATAGACCAAATGGAAGGAGAAATATCTCTTGAAATACAATTTGAAACTTTGCGCGGTGTGATAAAAGCATTCCGGTACAATCATGGCTGCAACCAAAAGCTATCATCCACCTTGGAACTTTCTAAGCTTAGATATAGCTGAGTGTTCAAGACAAGACCCCTTAAGACCACCACAAGGTCCTGTCAGCCCAACACAAGGCAACAGAAGCATTCCAAATTTTTCATTGTTCCCCTTGTTACTCAGAAATGGTCAAGTGAATGGCTAGTGTCTTGTCTTAGGATGGCCGCGGCTATAACAATATTTACCTCGAGAAGCCGTTGTGCACTTGTCTGATGACTTCAGAGTTACTGATGCTAAGCCCTTTCATCTGTACAAGAACGGACAATAAAAACACAGCTCAATGTCAAAAGAACAAAGAGAGAAAGAACGTAAGACTTTTGTACACTGTAAACAAATCACTCGTAAGTGTAAAGTCATGTCTTCTAGTCAAATGACAGGCTTCTTGGATGCAACAGCACACCAACTGTACGTTTATAAATGGACATACGCAGCATCAAATATAATATATAACATCATTTTTGGTGGGGAATGGTGATCAAAGTGAGACAGGCAGGTCAATGCTGGCTGTTTTGCCAGAAAAACAGAGCCAAAAGATGCATCACCTGTGTCACATGACATCAAGCTGGCACATGCTCTTTTGTCAACAAAAACCTTCCCCAGCCCAACCAAATAATATAATTTGATGTTCCACGTTGCTGGTGTCATGTCAAAGGACACGTCAATCGCTAGGGACACGATAGGCTTGGCACTTGAGAAAAATGACTCACGGTGGGGTCGAAGCTGCTGGTAAACTCCTTAAACTCGCTGAGCTTCTTGCCAAGGTCAATGTCCTCATGCTGGCAATTCAGAAGAACGCTCAGGATGGCTTGGGTGGCGCAAGCATTCGTTATGACCTGGACATAAATAAAAACCAACGGATTCAACTGATATACCCCAATACTTGATTAGCCACTGTGACCAACTGAAACAGGAGTGGTCAATAACTTTTACAGATTAGACCACAGAAGCGGTACATAGACAAGTATTCCTGAATTGGCTGATGTCGGGCACAGGAGGTAGATCTGCTGCAGTGATCATGCTGCACTGTTGGCCAATCACATGGCACTACTGGTCAAACTGACAGAGGTCACAAGCAATCCAATGAATCCATCACTCAGGTAACTATTGGTCAATCGTGTGGTAGTTATGGTAGGTCTGTGGGATCAGTCAACGGTGCGTTACCAGGTTTCAGAGCAGCAGGTTCACCATTTACCAATCACATATTGCACAGGGATGGGAAACAACTCCCCAATGGGTGAACTTGCATAATTAGTCCACTGAGCTGACGTGCACTGGCGCAACTGGTTTGGCGAGTCTGCATCATCAATTGATGTCACGAACGCTGCAATGTGCAATCAGTGGATGACTGAGCAAAAAAGAAACCATATGTGACTCATCAGACAGATCCACACCAGATCCACACCACACCGCTCAACAAACAAAAGAAAGAAAATGCCAGTCACCTGTTTGGCAAAGAATATTTTCTCCAATCGGCTATCCTGCACAACGGCTCCCGAAGGTTCTTCCCCAGCTTGCCATTTGAACAGGAAAATCAGCCCATGCACTGGTCTGCGAATGGATCACCAATAAATGAAGGATTATCATCTAACAGACTAGCTAGGATTTCAGCCCCAAGGGTGTCTAGGCATCTATTGCACCCTTTGTGGACTAGTGAGGGCATCTCCTCTTGCTCAGAATTTCAGCCATTTTTTTTCCCATTTGAGACAGGTCTGGTAGCCCTTTTTATATGACAGATCTGAGAAGTTAAAACACTCAAATAAGCTGATCTGTGAAATAGTTGCACTCTGAAAAGAAGGGTACAGCAAATGAAGTAGGAAAACATGCATAATGAATGGTTACGTATCTTTAACACATGTAAATATGTGTGTGGCCAGTAATGTACACTACTGATGCCTGAACTGAAGGTGGGGAACATGATAGGTGTCCATTCTCCGGAACCAATCGTCCATTTAAGCACATAGTTATATCCATTCATAAAAAACTCTGAAGTCAGAAAGTCAAAACAAGTTTAAAAATGATAATTTCCAATACTTTTGTTGAACAGTTTTACCTCTTTCCTTTCACAAGTAGTCCTACACAATCTCCTCAGGCAGAGATTGGCATGTGCATGATCCGTACTGTGTGAGATGATACCCACACGTTGCCAGGCGATGCTTCATCGACGATTTTATACAGTGAATAGGAATGCTTAAATTGTCTCTGGTATTTATGAATAAGGATTTTAAAAGATTTTTGAGTAACCTGACCAAATTCAGTGAGCCATGGCCCGTAAGCAATTTACAAGCAATGTGACTGGCTCAAATATGTACTGCCGATGTAAAACGGCACCCTCCCAAGCATATCTAGCAGCAGTACAAAAATACACCTGTTTGGCACAATCAATCAATGTGGCCAATCATTTGATCTTTGCCATCTTTGCAGGATCAGTCCATCTTACTACACAGTTTGTTGGAAATTTTGCCACAAGCTGACTGCCTGCTCTTTCTCATTGACTGTTGTGGAAGACTGCTTTGAAAAATCGAAGTAAGTTGGAGATTTCCAGCAGTATCGACCAATCATGCAGTGTGACTGGGCAACAGGTCAACCGATCGTGCCCAACACATGCACATGAAGGCAAGATGGCTATTCGCTATTTTCTTGACTTACTTGAGTCTTGCCAGGCTAGCTTCATCATCCAGTGTCCATATCTCTTCAACCTGAGCACCTGTAACTCCTTAAAAAGAAAAGCACAAAACGAAAAAAAATGCCACATTCACGTATTTGACTCTGTGAAATATGGTGTACATGTACATAGGTAAGCCTCATGGCCAACATGGGGAGGGGGTCAACACACTTTGAATCAGACAGATCGATAAATCACACTTACTTTAAAACGCTGAACTGCAAAACTTTAATCAATACAAACTTGCACTGGGAAAATCCCTATCAAAATCTAGAACATCAATGAGGATAGCGAAAAACTTACACATAGGCGTACGTACTTATTTATGTTAACAATCTGATATCAAGAAAAAAACAATGCTTTATCTTTCACAAATCCAATAATACCAGTATACAGGTAGTCTACAAAAAGCTTTAGGGTCCCTTATATTCAAGAATATGAGTGCTTGATTTCACTTGGTACAATCAAGTCCCAAATCTCTACTCGTGGCGAGACTACACATTGCTTGTTCAGTTCACTTTTTTTGAAGTCTCAACGACAATCATACTGGTTCAATAGGCCCAAGCCTATTACAGTTTCACAGCAAACAGTCCCGCTACCACAGCTTCTGCTTGGAGACTGGAAGAAAGTCCAGTGATGGAGTTTCACATCATACAAACAGAACAATTCCTGTCCTCATGAAGAGGTAACATACAAGTTTACAAGATGGCCAATCACCAGTGACTTGATCCACTCTGCATACGGCGTAGATCCAGCGGTCCAGCCAAACACTAAGCGATCTGGTTGATCTCCCAGCAGAGTACAGTTCAAGCCAACCATGTTAACTCACAAAACAACGAGGTATTTCTGAGAGCCACAGGCTTATGATTTTCAATCAACCGGGGTCATGAATTGACTTTTAACAGGAATCTTGTTTCTTGTCTGGGGAAATTTAGCCAAACATGAGCAAAAACATGGAGCTCTCCACGGTGATTTCATCATTCCCTGAGGGCGCACTTCAGCGTACAGCGCGGGCTACACATATGTAGGAGAATCCCCAAAACTTCAGCTCACTGGTGAAAACAACGGCACATGCAATTCCAGAAAATGGACTCTGCACGAAACAAGTTCAACCATGGAGGAAAGAATGGCAGTATGCACTTACTTATTGAACAAAGTCAAAAGAGATACTACGTGCCTAGTCTCAATTTCTACAGATTTCGTCCTTAGTCATGCACTATGGGCTGCAAGCAGCACCAAGAGAGGGCGCAATTTTCCTAGCAACAGAGGCTCCTTTGGTGGGAAATGCACATAGCTGATTCACAAACGACTATGCAATGCAAGCATTGCAGTCGCATCACAACAAAATGTACTCTCCCCACCAACGTGGCTCTTTTCAGCTGATGAGGGGGGTGCTTCTCCTCAAGGCAAATACTTCAGACTGACCACTCTTTTCATGAAACTAAGTAACAGCAGAGGAGAAAGTTTAGAAACATTGGGCCTAGCATATAATCAACCCAGGCTTCAAACTGAAACCACTTGCCAACTTCAAAATTAGCTTCATTTTCAGAGTATTGAAGAAAAGGGAGAAGAATTTCATATGTGGACATGGCCAATTTTTTTCCCTGCAGTGACTCATCAGCCATTAGAAAGTGAAAACATGTCCTAAAAAATAAAATTTAGCAGCTAAAACATTGAAGTATTCCAGGCCAGTCTCATGATAAAAATCATGGGATTGGTGCACAGTGCCGCAGCGTGTCAAGTGATTCATGGTGATGAGATAAGTTTGAAGAATTCTGCCAGTTAAAGAGGATGTAATGTTCGTGGGACTTTGGTTCTGCATGTTTTTCAGAGCATGAATTGCAGAATACTGTGTCAATCTAAAAAATGACCCCTGGAATGAATGGTTTACGTGGGTACAAGGTGAAAATCCCTTGAGAAGAGTGTGACACTCTGATCTGTACCTGGCTATGAGGTTGATCGTGCAGGATGGCGGGGTATTCTGCAATTGAGCTTGTTTTTCAACACTTGTTGAGGTTTTACCCTAGCCTGGCAGCCGCATGTGGTGAAGCACCAGTGTCTCCCCCTCCCCCCCCCCCACACCGCCGGGCATTGGTTTTTCATTTTTCCATGTAGCACTGTGTAGCACCGGGTTTGTACACAAGTCTATGGTGTAGCAATTTTTTGCTACACGCAGCAGCCCCTTACTTTCCTTGCGTCTTTGTCTAGCACTGTGTAGCATTAGATTTTGGGTCATCTCGTACCCAAGTCATCTCGTACCCACGTCATCTCGTACCCTGGTTAACTCGTACCCGGGTCAACTCGTACGCAGGTCAATTCGTAACTGAGTCAAGTCGTACCCAAGCTAACTCGTACCCAAGTTAACTCGAACCCAAGTTAACTCGTACCCAAGTTAACTCGTACCCCCTTACAACTTGGTGATTTCTATTACGGAAATTTTTTTAAAATATATTTCAAATAAATTTTAAATACCTCATTAAACTTAAATAAAAAACTGAAAAAAATTTTTATTCTTTGCAGGTAAAGCATACATGTACATGTATCTCTTTTTGGAAAATGTGGTGGCCCTCAAAAGGGCCATTTGGTTTGAAAGTGGTTGCCCTGAAAAGGGCTGTTTGGTTTGGTGGGCCTACAGCGCGGGACCATTCAGGTGCTTGCAGGTACAAAGAAGCTCGGACGTCGTCAGCTCCCCAAACCAGTACCGCTGCCAGATCTTGAAAAGCTCCGCCTGCATTGTCTTGAATCGCTTTTGCTGGTACAATGTACCGGCAGTAACAAATCGACAAATGATATTTTTTCATATTCATCTCAATTTAATATTCCCAACAATACAAGTCAACAGAGTAGAGAGTATGGGAACGTGCCATCATTCCTCTTTCGTCATTCGCGGCCGGGAAAAATGCTTCCATTGGTCAGATTCAATGTGGAAATTCATAGGGTACGAGTTAACTTGGGTATGACTTGACTCGGGTACGAGTTAACCTGGGTACGACTTGACTTGGGTACGAGTTAACCTGGGTATGACTTGACTCGGGTACGACTTAACTTGGGTGTAAATTTTGGCGTATGGGTTAACTCAGGTACGAGTTGACCCGTTACCTAGCATTAGTGTGCACTTGAAGGTCTGGTTCTTAGACCATCTAATCGGCTGTGCCTATATCCTATTGCATATCACCTGATTGAACATTCTGTGTAGCTTGTACATGTAGCCCTGCTACACACACAGGTTCTGTCTTCTTCGGTCTCATTTCTGCCAGAAATTCTGGCTGGGTATAGCCGGGGTAGGCCAACAGCCTTTACCATGTTGTATAGGCATGACAGGGCCCTTACTTAGGGCCAGCAGGGGTATAGGTTATCATGCAGCAAAACTTTTACAAAACTTCCGGGTCCAAAAGCTAACACTACTTTAAATACAACTGATGTGGCCTACTGTCAGACTGTACTGACTTACCAAACCCTCTGATCAGCTCTGTAAAAACGGCAGGATCGCTTTCGATCAAACACCAGTTTCCAGCCGAACCACCCGCCATAGTTTGCTCATTTGACCGTCACGAAAATGCATATGCATTTTTACCTTTGACCCCTGCGGATTAAACCCATGTGGAATGTTTTCCAAATTTTGGTTTAGCCATGTTTAGGGGTGCAGGCGTCAAATTCTTTACTTTGGTTCCCTGAGGTAAGTAGAGGTCCATTCTTGAATGAAACCAAAATTGTTTGATAAGAGAGCAAAAGTTTGAAGCTATTCGAACTTAGGTTCTGATGGTAAATGTTTTCAGGATTAGGACTTGTATATATAGAAAGGAGAGACCGCGAATCAGTCTACTGTAATGTAGTGTAAAACGCGTGTTGCCCATTAGTCTTGGTTTCAAGACGTTAGTGTTCATAGCGGACACCGTGCATAGTGCGCCCCCAATGACTGATAATTAGACAGTGCGCCAGCTCGTGTTAGTGAGAGTAAGTAAAAACTAGTTGTGCAAGGGCGCTCTTCAACAGGAATAAAACAGCTATCGATCACTGACGTCTTGGACCAAGACTAGTCGCCCATTGATGTACAGTACTGTACATGCGTGACATGCGTACGTACACCTCGCGCATCGCGCGCAGGGCGCCAGGCGACGCGACGATGACCACGGTGTGTACATGTACTATGTACATGTGTCCGGCAATACGCATTGATCAATCAATAGATCGACTTATTATTGATCACTAGGGGCTAGGTGGAGTTGACATATATGTAATGGAAAATTTTCCTTGAGTGAAGACCTACACAGCGTCTCTCTTTGCAAGCCTTTGTTGCTGTCAGAAGACCCCAAAATGGTGTTTTTCGAGGTTTGCGGTCCCAACGAGGCTATGGTAGTCTCAGGTAAGCGTACTGTCATGACTGTGGCAGTATTTGAAATTTTTATGGTCTAAAGAAGAATCTTTTCCTCCATGTCTGAGCTGAGCTACGGTCATGACGGTCGGTTAATATGGTTAGGCTGGGAAAAATGATGGTTCCCAAAATAATGTTATGTTAGGCCAACACCTACATGTAAGCCAGGTTGGACGTTGTTTTCATTTCATTACGTAGTGGCTAGGCCTACGCCCGAACTATTATATGTTTAGTGTCTGTCCACAGTCCCAACTGTAGTGCTGCAGTTGGGCTCAGCCCAAGCATGGTGAGTATTACTAGCCCCGGGCACTAGTGTGGCACGGACTCTCACTCCCGATCCATCCTTAGCTACACATCCGTATGCGCAATTTCCTGTCGGCGTATTGAACATTTCGTCGCTCCCACTTATCATCGTGGGCGCAATTTCTTTTGCACACGAACATGATTCTTGACCTTTCCGCTTTCTAAAAACCATTTATTGGATGATATCACTCACGATATTGAGGTATTTTCCAGTCTTTTTGCCTTTGTCCATTCAATCTAATGGGCTCGCTCTTACACTCGCCATCTTTTAAATAAGGTCGTTGAACATTACGTCACTTGACCCCTCATCGTCTCGACGGCTCTGAAAATGGTATTGGCTTGAAGTCACATGGAGTAGGGACTTTGAATTCTCGAAGTAGGAAGGCAAAAGGTTTAATGTTTGCTCTTTTTTTCCTTCCCACAATGCCTTTCTACCATTGTGTGAAATCACCCATGCAATATTTGGGGCGCAACTATGACTCGTCTGACATAGCAAAATAGGCTACACGATACTGTTCACTTACTGCCACCGCCATGGTCCATGGCCACCGCCAACTTTCACCTTGAAATTCAAGTAGGCCATGGACCAGATGAATAGCTTGAACAAGATATTTACAAAACCTCTCAAAGATGAAGTAGGGCGTAGGCCTAGTAGATGCAATAACTTGGCGTAGGCCTGAGCTTTTGGCATTTTCGCGGTCGGAGGTTGTTCCATTTATTACACTCACATCTGGACAAAGGGGCAACTCTCCTTTCACTTTTTACCGTGATAAATTTGCATGTTTTCCTCCTTTTTTGCTGCAACACTATAAAAATAATTGAAACCTTTTCAGTGCAGTAGGGCAGATATTCATAGCATATACATGTTAATAGTGAAATTTCAGGCACATTTGATGTAAAGGTTCAGTCAGTAATTCAGATTTTCCCCCATAGACCGCGACACTATTTTTGCCCCATTGAGGTTCGAGAGTGAAATATGGAATAGCCACCAACTGACCAATCAGAGAAAAGAATCAAGACTCAGTGACGTCATCCCCAATGCGAGAATGTGCAAACCTTTATTCAAATTGTGGTCAGGTGGTGATAAGCGAGGCCTATGTTTGTTTGTGAAATTTGTTAGCCCACACCCTACACTTTTGACACACCATTCAAACCATGTTCCTACACATGTGGGTATTTCTTTTTGTGAAATTTCTTTCGTGGCCCTTGGTCAAAAACTTCAAGGTACATGTAGGCTGCATCCACTTTTAGAGGGTGAGTGTCATTCTGCAGCTTGTTATGTGTGTTAAGTGTCTGGTTTGCCTATTGAAAATTAATTTTGGGTTCTACATGAAGTCGCTCAGACTGGACATGCTGGTACAAAATTAGTCGGAAGGGGATTTTTTTAAGTCGGGAGGGCCACAATTTTTAGTGCACTGTAGGCATGCATCATACATGAGTAGCTAATTCAGCTACATAGTGCTCACGTCATTCTGCTCTTTGCATGAGGTCAGTAGGACAGTACAAGTACTGTACCTGTTGATTTGGTGAGACATTTTGTCTGAAAAGTACATTTTGGGGAGAAAAAAAATCACACTCAAAAAGAGGTCGAGATTGAAAATTAAGCTACATGTAGTCTGTAATGTAAATCTAAAAAGCATTTGAAATAGCCTTATTTTAATTTTGAGATTGAAACTCTAACGACCGAAATGTTGGGGTTGTGCTGTTATGGCAGTGACATACATTGTACATTTGCATATCTTCAGCTGCCAACATTTGTAAGAATTTCACATTTTCCATAACAGTCTCATTAGAAGTGACTTGTCAGTCCTTCAGTTACATGTATGTGAAAAAAGAAACCTGTCCGACGCTGCTAGGGGAGTTTTGGACGGTCACTGAAAAACTATACAAACAGATCTAAACAGAAGACCAGGTCTGTGCGAAGTGTACATGGTATTGCCAATGATTAATGTTTTAAAGTATCAACTGCCGTTGTAGTAATCTTTGCTCAGTGTGCACATCGTACATATCAAAAAGTCTCTGTGAACATTGTACTGTGAGTACATTGTACATTAACCCTCCTTCAAAAAAGGTGAACAACAAAGTAAAACGCAGTAAACTGTAGTGTGGAATTTAGCAGTACACACAAGTTTCGGGGGCACTTTTTTCTTCTTTTTTCAAGTTTAATGTAAACATCCAACTTTGTTTACGAACTTTGTCCAACTGGTCAGCATAGGGATGCCCAATTGTGTCGGCAGCATTGGGCAGTGCTTGTCCTGCACTGTGCAACAGAATGACTGTTCCACAGTCCATATGGTAAACATTGTTGGGGTACATTTTGTTGCATTCATTCAGATGTTTATGGGAACCATGGTTTAGAGTTCAACATAATTTTAAAATATTGTCCATTCTGATAAAGGTTGCTGCCACTCCAAACCGCTTCTTGTCTCTGGTGGGCGCACTTTTGTCTGGCCCTGCATTCAGCAAGTCCAGAAGCTGTCCCTGAACACCATGACACTGAAGATTGACACCGCCAACGTTTACACCCGCCTTGGTGTGCCCGTATCGGTCACTGGGATTGCCCAGGTGAGTAACGATATACCACTCTCCCCAAAATCTTTGCCTGGCACAGATTTCAAAGGGCTTGTCCTTCCTTGAGCTAAAATCCACGACCAAGTCCGTGGACAAGGTGGACAGTGGACAAGGGAATTGGCAGTCAACCTTTGCGTTGTCTCCTGCAGGTCAAAGTTCAAGGGCAAAACAAGGACATGCTCCTGCAGGCCTGCCAACAGTTCCTTGGTAAAACTGAGCAGGAGGTGGAACAGGTTGCCATGGAGACACTGGAGGGCCACCAGAGAGCCATCATGGGAACCATGACGGTTGAGGTGCGTCTCGTGTTTTTGTCTGTATTCATTCTTAAAAATTTGTTCCAAAACTTTGACCAGAATGCTGCTGGTTGAGGGTCTTCTACTCAAAGCATATTTTTCAAGAGATGGGTTTTTTGTAAAATTGTGTGGTGTCAGCAGCCTTTTCTGTCTTGGCACAGGAGATCTACAAGGACCGTAAGAAGTTTGCCAAGAATGTGTTTGAGGTGGCCTCCTCCGACTTAGTCAACATGGGCATCAGCGTAGTCAGCTACACCCTCAAGGATGTGAGAGATGACAATGTAAGTCCAAAGCAGAAATGGTTTCGCAGTTGGCCTTTGCCATTCACTTTCAATTCAAGAGCAACATCTGTTTCCGTACAAGTAAGATTAATTAACTTTTCACATGAGAGGAAGCAGTTATGTTGATAATACAAATAATAATGGTTGTATGCATCAGTGAGTGTAAACAGTGAACGAAACTACAAGAGGTTGAAGGGACTCTCCTCAAGGCCATGCATTGTGGTAACCAACTGGATTTGAACACCTCACCGGCTGGTCATGAGTTGCAAACTCTAACCAGCAGGCCGCATTCCCCATTTCAGTCAAGTGAGCAGTCTTTTTCTGATAAGCACCATAATGACATCGGTCCCATGCTCCCCCAGTGTGTGGTTGCTCATTTGCATGTTGCGTCTCTCCCCCAGGGATATCTAAAAGCTTTGGGCATGGCTCGTACTGCCGAGGTCCATCGGGACGCCAGGATAGGTGAAGCAGAAGCCAAGAGAGACTCCGGCATTAAGGTCGGTCACTTTATCAGTAAACTTTGGCATTTAGTGATCAAAGAGGGAAGGGAATGCAATCAGATAAGAACTGAAGACCCTTTTCACTTGTTGGACAGGGAGGGATATGAACCAGGTTCACCAGAGACAACGGATTGGGAAGTGTGCATTGTGTACTACACAAAGTATTCTGCACTCATAGTTTATGCTAAACCTCTGGCAATTGGCATTCAACCCCCTACAACTCCTATGTACGTATGCTTTCCAGGTGTAGGATGTGCATGAAGTGAATGCGGCAATTTAAAATGCTGTGATGATGTCTTGAATTCCTGACATGCAGGAGGCGCGTGCCGAGGAGGAGAGAATGGCTGCGCGATATGCCAACGACATTGAAATCGCCAAGGCCAAGAGAGACTTTGAGCTGAAGAAGGCTGCCTACGACATGGAGGTGCAGACCAAGAAGGCCGACTCGGAGCTTGCTTACGACCTGCAGGTAGGCAGGGCTGATAGGTGGGGCAGACTTTGACCACACTGTGGATAACTGAACGTTGTGGATTGATTAATTGTTTGCGAAAAATTGCACATCCACAATGTGGAAACTAGGTATGAACAAAATCTTAACAAGCGCATGGCTAGTGTTGTGCATAGTATCGTGCAAATTTTTTTGAATTTTTTTTAATGCACTGTGTTCATGACTCATAAATTTTATTAACCCTAACAATCCCTAAACAGTCAAATTTCAACACCAGTAAGGTGTTTGCATGTGATGTTATATAATAATTACCTTAAGAAGGACAGTCTTCCTTGTTTCTGACCACAATGATCCCAGCAGTTGGGGATGGATATGCAGAATGATGGTGTGCGAGTTGATTTGGTACTGCCTGTTCATACTGTTTGTACTGTGCAATGGGCTTGCTGTACCCAATCAAACAAAATCACACAGGTAAAGACCTGTTGGAGTTTGTCTGATTGGGTACAGCAAGTCACAGGAAGAGTTCTGGTGGAGTCTGTGTGATTGGGTACTGTAAGGTAGGAGTTTGATTTCAAGCTGTTGGAGTTTGTGTGATTAGGGAGGGATACCACCAGCAGCCCTTGGGCAGTTAGAGTTAACATGCGTTAGACCTTATTGCCACGGGGCTATACAAAATACCCATGCTTGGCTGTCACGAGAGTTTCAACGACTAAGTGGTACTATTACATTCATATGTATAACTGATGATTTTTGAGCTACGTCTTGTTGGCATTGTGCGCTTTGTACTTACCTGGAGCTTTTAAAAGGAAATCATAAGGAAGTCATAACTTCTACAGAATAATTAACACTTTCTCTACTCAATTGTACTCAATTATAGAAATTGTTGAGGTATGCAATATTACATCATTGAGGGGCAGAATGTGAAATTGAACTGACAGTCATATTGCTGATCAGTTTGACTTTAATTGTTATCGTTATTTTCTTGACATAGGTGACAAAATTATGACAATTCAGGTGGATGTAGGTGACAGGTCTGAGGTGCTAAGGGAGTGGCTGTTGCCCATTGGAGTTTTTTGGGGTGGAAGGGGAAAAAAGGGGCGTAATAGGGTGGCTGTCGTCACCTGGAAAAGTGTGACGTGTCGGAATAGGGCAATGTCAGTGCCACCAAGCTTTGGGGATTTGCAGCACTGTCACCCAGTCACAGAATCCTGAAGAAATTATATAACATTGGTTTCAGGCTGCCAAGACCAAGCAGCGGATCAGGGAAGAGGAGATGCAGATCCGTGTGGTGGAGCGAACCCAGCAGATCCAGGTACAGGAGCAGGAGATTGCTCGCCGAGAGAAGGAGCTCAAAGCCCAGATCAAGCAGCCGGCCGAAGCCGAGAAATACCGCCTGGAGACGCTCGCCGATGCTAACATGTAAGTCAGAGTAGGCTCCCTGCTGGCAGAATAGCACAGAGTCATTGGTCAAGGCTTTCACGGAGAATGCATTTATTGGCATTGTGTAACCATGGAACACTCTAGGGACGTGGAACTTTGCTGCTGAACACCCTCCCTTCGATGGAAAGGGCCGGTTCACAGAAATAAACCAACTCAGACTTGGCATGTTCCACGCCCATTTATGGTGGAATTCAGTGCAGAGAGCAGGGCTTCCAGTCACTGTCAGAACACTGTTCCTTTACATCCAATCCTCCTTTCCAGTGTTACATAACTGCATTACTGTGCTTGTTTCTGGTGTGCAGGAAGCGTGTTGTGATGGAGGCAGAAGCAACTGCAGAAGCTGTCAAGGTAAGGCCAGTGAAAGGTCCTTGTTTGTCAGTGCAAACACATCCAGACAATCAAAAATCTGACAAACTTAAAGCTAGTTTGCTCGTCCGCTAAACCTAATAATTCTAACGCCGTTACATTTCATAGAGTGGCTCAGTACATTTTTAATGAAGTAAAGGAATCTTGCTAGTTCTTAAAATGTTGTTTCACCCGCCGAATACTGTTTTCCAAACTCGTGGCACATCACTGGTTTCATGCATTGGCCACATCATTTGTTTTGCAGCTGAAGGGTGAAGCTGAAGCCTTTGCCATTGAGGAGAAGGCCCGAGCAGAGGCAGAGCAGATGGCCAAGAAGGCGGACGCCTGGAAAGACTACCAGGATGCTGCCATGGTGGACATGGTGCTGGAAACATTGCCTAAGGTTGGTATCTTGCGCACTTAAGAAAAGTTCTCAGATGGTTGTCGGCAGCTTGCCTAATACCTTGTAAATATTTTGAACAAATACACAGATTGCATTGACAAATAGAGTATTTACAGTCCAAAGCAAACTGAAAAACTACATTGCTTGAATGTCATCGCACACTCCAATCGGATGATCTCACAACTTTGCTGGTTTACTGTAGTTTGGGAAGTCTGCCACTGTGAAAAATGCCTTTCGATGAATAAGAGGATATTTTTCAGGTTGTATATTCAAAAAGCATTATTTGGATGGGTGGTATTTTTGTTTCTCTCTGACAGAAGACGAACCATGTGATGATATTGTAAATTCCATCTTTTCAAACACTTCAATTGATTTGAGGGAATACAGATTGTCATCACAATTGAATTTGATAATAATTGGCTGTGTGTTTCCCAGTTCTGAAAACTGACAGTTTTTATCTCTTGTAAAAAAGACTCCAGGAATCAGCTTGTGAGTTGGACATATTCTTAGTAGAAAAAGATGATGAAGATTAGCTCTGTGTTAAACTGCATTACTTCTGACTTACAACCTCTAGATTGCAGCTGAGGTCGCTGCCCCGTTGGCCCAGGTCAACAAGGTCACCATGGTGTCCAGTGGCAAGGGTGACGTGGGAGCCACCAAGCTGACCGGAGAGGTGATGGATATCATGAACCGAGTGCCCCAGCTGGTGGAGAAGATGACTGGTGTCAACATCACCGAGGTATGCATCCACTTAGACTTTGGGCCCAGTGGGAGAGCCGGTGGCACAATGCTAAAAATCAAGTGACGTTAACTTACAGTACTTGGATGACAGTCGTACTACGTATTTGTTGGTCATTGAGATTGATGTGCCCCTGCCTGGGATGAGGTGAAAGACCCTCTGCTGTCATCCATGAAGACCACACCCTTGAGAAGGGATGCTAAATTGTACATCCCAAGGTGGGAACAGGAATTGCTACGGTAATTCAGGCTGTAGCTGATGTGCTGATCGAGGGTCTTGATCTTATCTAATCAATGTAATGCCGTTGTGAGCTAATGAAAGATGGAAAAGGAATCGCTGGAATAAGTCAGGGGAGGGGCGGGAGAGGGTAAAGAAACCGTGCGTGTTCAATGCGCAGTGCTGTCTAGTGCTGGCAATGTGAATCTGCTAGGTGACGGTGCTGCCTTTCTGTATAGGTACAATGTTCCCTGTGTGGTAACACAGGCTGCATCCCAATCTCTTGTCTAGAGCTAGGTCTAGGTCTTCCCTCCATTTGAAATGTGCGGAGATGCACAGACACTAGACCTAGCCGTAGCTCTGGAAGCCCGTTTTGGACACGGCCACACATAGGACCACAGTGTAGAGTGAGTTGGGTGTTGAACACGAAGCTTCCATGTAGTTCATATTCAGCGCCTTTACCTTTGGCATGGAGTGATGTTACCGTGTTGACGAATCTCTGTCACATAGATCTTGGGCTCATGGTGAGCCTTTTCAGAATCTACTGGCTGTGGCTCGGAGCAGCGCACACGTCTATTAGAAATAGTCAAAAGCCTCCGGCCGATAGCTTCCATAGACACACTTGTTTTTTTCTAGCTACAGCTGCAGCTGTCGCACACAGACTTATTTTTTAGACTTATTTCCCTTTTGACATCACTTGCTGGGTTTTCTAAAAGAGGTGTGTCGTTAATGCATTCTTCCTGAGGATTGTGTGGGTTTAATTCAGAGACGAAAATTACTTTGGGGGATTCGGTGACTCTTCACCAACAGTTGAAACAATTTTGCTTCCACCAAAAGTTGTATTGGAGACTTTTAGATTAAGAGCATCCCTGCTTCAGCAAAAATGTTTCTGCATCCTCGGTTTCCTTTTCTCCTTGCACTCTGATTCTATTCCTTGTTCTCATCTTGCAGGCAATATCTGCCACCAGAGTGTAAGCTATGGCTCACTGACAAGACACCAAGAGATCAAGAACAGCCCCCTCTGTTGAACCAACGCCTCATCAGTGTGCACCCCTCAAATAATAAAGGAAGAGCCCTCTTCTCAGAAGGCAGAAAATATGTTCATCTTCATATCATATTCCATGTAATCATAGGTGTTGTAAATGAATTTCTTTCTCAGGACTATTCAGGACCAAAGCAGGAGCACCACAGTTAAAAAGGAATTGAATAACAAATAGAAAACTGTGCAAACCCACCTACCATAATTTTGTACTGGATAAATTATTTTTGGGGTTAAAACAAGCTTTTTGCCATATGCATCTGCTAATTCTAATATCAAGTCGCTTAGAGTTCATGCGATGAAATAAAGAAGTCACCATCGAGATGGTGTAAAATCATCTCCAATCGTGGAATGAACTTGGTTTATTGTGTGAGCTGTGTGCAGTGCAAGACATGTAATTGCAACTTCTGTTAGAGATGCTGGCAGTCGGTAGCTCTAGCGACTTGGCTTTGAATTGCTTCAAGGACCATGTCTGCGCATTAGCTGATTGCATCGTCAAAATGAGCAATGGCCTGAACCATCTCACAGTTGTTCATTGGCCCACCTGGACGGGTATTTCAAGGCTGCACGCTCAATGAATTTATACTCAACCATTCTGTGCCTACAGCACTAGCTCAGAAATTCTGTGCTCATCGTAGAATCCATAGATAAGGCCATGTTGTGTGCTAACCCCAATTAACGCTTTGCACACAGTTTTCTTTCACAGTTAGCCAAGGTTCCTTGTTTACAGCAAACAAGCACAGTCATAAAATTGGGCCCTTGAAGAGATGTAGCATTTGTGTTCATGCACACCCTAGTAGATTTGACACTAGTCCATTGCTTGACATTCTGCAGTTCAACATCAATCTACTGGTCTGTAGCATAAACCCAGTTTTAAGCTAGTGTATGATTGTTCACCTAGTCTTAATTCAGTACATCAATTTAGAAGCGTCCTGAGAGAGTCAATCATGCTGTTCATGTGTTTGTGTATAACTTTATAGATAATTATAATATTTACTCAAGTAAATTTTAAGGTGTGCATTTAAGTTACAAGTGCATTTATCTTGAAATCTTTGATATTGGTACATGTAATTGTTCATATTTCCATTGACAAAAACTGAATTTTAAGTGTTTAGTGTAATCTCTTTCTTCCATAGCAATAGTGACTTTGTGAATTGATATCTACATTTCAGAAGCATAATATTTATGTACAGTATTGATGTGGTACCTGTGAATGTGTTTTCTTGAAAGTGGTTGTGTTCTTGGTTCACACTTTCTACTAAAAGTGAAGTAGATTTCATTTCATCATTGACACTAACAGGAAATTTGTCAGTCATTATTATCACCAGTTTGCTGTGCTCTTTAATCCTCAGCAAGCTTTTTTCTTATCAAGGAATACAGTGTGCTATAGAACAGGTGAAAGCATGAGGTTTACAACAGGCTTTGGGTCTGGTAACCGGTAATGGCCAAAGGCAATACTGATAGCCATTGACGATGACCACACTGAGAGCCAGTTTTGAAATGTCATGTCAGAAACTGTGTCTGAGTATACTGTTACTGTTTGACCCATTGATGGGTCAAAAATTGACAAATTTCCAACAAGTTTATTTCATGTTCCTTGAAAAACCTCTTCTAGTCAAGTCTGCAAGCTTTAATTTTAAGGATCCCTCTGCATTTTGTAGTTGCTTGTTGGTTCGACTGCCTCACAGGGTATGTTTCAGTCTGAAATTACATTTACAGCCTTCATTAGTCTTCTTGATGCTCATGGGAACTTTTTACGAATCATTTTGTGGGTGAGGTTGATCGAAAACTGTGCTGTTTGTACTGGTCCTACCGGTTGAGATGCCTTCAGTAATACCTATATTTTGTAGTACGTAGGGTCCTTAAATTGTCAATATTGCAACCATTTGCACGCTGTCTCGCAGGGGTAGTGTGGAACTTCTCTCAAGAAGTTTGGTGCATTCTGCCTATTGTGGTGCAGAATGCAATGGCTCTCGGCGTGAGTTTACCAATGGTCATAAAAAACCCCTATGAAGGGCTTTCAAATAGGAATGGTCAAACCGACCTAGTGTTGGTGAAATGTTAACCTCGAATTGTACGTGGTCAGTCATGTTTATGTCATTGAAGAGTGCTGTTTGTGTCTGGAAAAAAATTGTTAGATTTTAAATATTTTATCATGTATTTTTCAAACCAATTATCTTAGCAATACTTTGTGTCCTCAATCATTGTACATACTGTAGTTTTTCCCCACTGAAAAGATTTAGTAGAGGTTCCTGTTAAGGGGTACTACAGAAATCCGCACAAAAGGCAGACACAACATCAGGCGAGACTGCCTTTACCTGGGTATTTCGAATTTACATACACCCCTTGCCTTTGTTTTATTTTTATCGTATAGAGTACTTGCAGATTTTACTGTGATGTATGCATTTATTTTCTGACTTTTTCATACTCTGATCTGCTGTTCACTACTTCTATTTTACATTGTTGTGAATTGTGGCATTAGTTTTAGGTCGCCATTTTTACTATAATGTCATTTTTCATTATTACAGTATTAAAGTAAGGAGTGAATTTTACAGTTGCATATACAACAAAAACGGGCAAAAGGAGAAAGCCCCATCCATTGGGACAATAAAACTGCTCCAGCACGACTGCTTGACTGGTGCGAATGATCAAATTAAATAGTGCTAAGGTGTTGGATTACGATTTTATTTAGTTCAGCGAATATGTGGAAAACGTAGGGTTTTACGTACAAGCATGAATTTTGGCACAGATCAGGACTACGACCTAGGAATGTATTGAGAAGCGGAGCCACTCTGAAAACATCCTCTGTGTAATCTTTGGTGTCGGTTTTAAAAATGGCCATCAAATACCATATTTCCAGCCAACTTTTTTTGTAACTGCCTATTTTTGAAGTTAATACACGTACCTGCAGGGTGTTTGTAATCACGGAAATATTTTGTAGTGAAAGAACTTAAAATGGAGAAAATAACCATTAACTTTGGCAATTCTGATGGTATCACACTAGCCTTGTTGTTACCTTGTCGCTTTTTCTCTTAGGGTCAGTTTTGCCATTTATTGCACTCACGTCTGGGCAAAGGGGCAGCCCTCTTTTCACTTTGTACAGGCATAGAGCAAGGGTATTTTCATCTTTTTCTACTGCAACATAACTGAAACCTTTTGGACTAACGCGGGAGGTATCAGTTGTACATAAAACACTGAAATTTCAGGTGTATTTGATGAAATGATTGAGAGTAAAGTCAACAATTTTAATTTTCCGATACGATGAAAATAGCATTTCCCTCAAGTTGAGTCCAGGAACAGCTACATGTACCATTGACCTGTTAGATACAAGAACTAGGAGTTCGTGATGCCATTCCGACTGCGAGAAACACTTCTAGGAACTTGAAAGCTAGTTCTCTGAGCGAAATCGTGACAGGCGATTCAAATTGCATCCTGCTGATATCGGCCTACTTCCCTGATAGGGTCTACTCTACTCTTTTTGTTGCAAACGACGTTGAGAAGGGAGGGGTACCTCCGGAAACGAGAATAGCAGAAGCACATAGTCCTAAAAATGATTGAGGGACGGTCAGAAACTTCAATACACAAAGATCAGAAGGAACCCCCGCGTCGGAAAGGCTGTCTGACCATTGGAAGTTCCATTTTCTTTTTAAAGGGGTAATTCGTAATCAAATAACAGAGCCTCGAACTTACATACCTTCTGCTTCCACAAATTTGGAATATTCGTACGTCTTGAGATTAGTCAAAATTTGTGCTACAAGAAATTTGCAAGAAATTTCAGTTTACGGGCATGAAAGTCAAACCCGAATTTCTGCTAGCAAAAAATGCACATTATCATTATGGTTGTTCACCGTTTCATGACTTTTGGACCTCCGGTGTCGGGGAGTAGAAGCAAAATCCAAATTGCTGTTCAAAGAAAATTTGACATTTTCAATTTTTTCTGCTATTAAAAATGGGAAAATCGCGATTTCTACATTTAAATTTGGACCCCCATAATCTGTATATTTAATATTGTTTTTTTAGGCTAATTTGGGCTTCATTCAAATCGTCATTCCTCACACCACAATTAAATCAAAGCCGATGTTTGAAAGTAGCCGACGTCCGCCGTTGTTTTTTCTCCTCCATATCATCTATGTTGAGGCTGCACTACTACGGAAGCGTATTGCTGCCAATGCAAAAACAAATATTTTATCTGGTTTTAAATGACACATCTCGTATTAATCAAAGTTATACACTCAAAATATTCTATAGTAGAGAGTCCTGAGAGGCATGAAATCGATTAATTGGAGAAACATGGCACTGAACCTCCGGCCCAGACTTTGGGCTTGCAATTATGACCACTACAAATAAATTCCCATAGACGGCAATGATAAATCCCCACACTTCACAGATATTTACAAAATACAACTCTCACAGGTGTCCAGGCTGTACAGAAAAACGATGATCGACAAATCCCCTTTCATTTTCCTTTCACATTCACTAACCCTATCCCTTACCCTATCTCTAGCCCTATCCCTAAACCTACCGATAACCCAAACCCTAACCATTATCTCTAAACCTATCTCTAACCATAACCCAAAGCCTAACCCTAAGGCCAACAATATCCCTCACCCTACTGTCCCTAACCCCAACCCTATCCCTTACCCTAACCCAATCCCTCACCCTACTGTCCCTTACTCTAACCCTAACCCTAACCCTATCTCTAACCCTATTCTCTAACCCTAACCCTAACCCTAACCCTACCCCTAACCCTACCCCTAACCCTAACCCTAAGGCCAAAAATATTCCTAACCCTAATGTCCCTTACCCAAT